AAATTAATCAACAAAATAAATCAAAGAGAAGTTAGGTAAAATTGTACAAACATACATAAATAAAATATTTACAATCAAGCAAAGGAAATTTGAACCAACCTTGTCCTTCCACGCGTGGACTCGTGATCACTGAGCTACTCTCTCAATCGCGTCACTTGTAATTTTTTTTTTTTTTTTTAATTATTTACTTAGAAATATAATAATGTGTCACGTGGACAATAATTATAGTGATATATGAACACATTCACACCATATATACAGAAAACATAAAATTAACAAAAGTAAAATGATAACTAAATAATAATCAAAAACAACGTAGAATAAAAAATAAAATAACTTAAAGATAAGTAAATTCAAAACATGAAAAAACAGTCATACCTAAATAGAATATATACAATCAGGATGGTAATCCCAAGCCAGGCTTCTCCCTCCAACTATAGAAGGAAAAAAAGGACTCCAAAAGATCCCTGCGCTACTCTCTCAACCGCGTCACAGGTGGTCACTGGTAATACAACCAAAAAATTGGAGGTTAAACGAGACCGCTACAGACAGAACATAAGAGGAAAAATAAAATAAACTACGATCAATATAAGTAAATGTCTGATAATAACTTTCGTAACAAAGTATTAACAGTGAGTCTTTTCCGTGTAACTTTATATTTAACCTGGCAATTTTACGAGAAGTGACATGAGGTCTCACGACATCGCGCCAGGGAATGAGGCCACCTTAATCAGCCAACGAGACCTTTAGTAGTCCAATCTTGGGTTACATAATTTTATCAAGGTTCAAATTTTTCCCTAAATCGCCGCGCCGTGCTACCCGAGGTTCCTAAATTCCTCCTCGACAGTTGAAGCGATCAACGGTTTGGACCGCGACTGGGAAAGGCGTGCACCTTCGGTCCGTTTTATCTCTCACGTTTCGGCGATGCAGACAAATCCAGCGGGTCGCCTTCATGTAGCGGACCTCGGCTCTTCGAACCGCGTTATAAATAAGTGAGCTAATATCGTCGGGCGTGAGGTAGCAGTAACCCCCGCCAAAACGGGAAGCCCACGACCCCACTCTCCTATCGGCTTTATCGCCGTGTTTTCGGTCCCCGCAGCCCATCCCTGAGGGTCTGAGCGCTGATATAGTGCTGTTAGCACCATTAGCAGATTGTTTATACTGCCCGCTCAGCGAGCTGCGCATGCTCATTCCGCTCCTCTCATCTCAGGTGAGCTTTATTTAAAGAAGCTGGTTGATTTTCGAAGGAACTTTTTTGCACTAATACCGAGGTTTTATTGGATGATTGTCTATTTGTGTGGTTACAGGTCATCTAGGATAGTTATTAGTCCGATCCCCCATAGTCATCCCAAGTCCTTAAGGTGGACGACTAGCAAATCCAAGGATTATCAGTATATTATTTTTGAAATGAAAGTTCTACCTCGTATCTCTATCGGATGAATTAATGAAATGTGAAGCATTAAAAAGCCATATGTAGAACCGAATGTAGTCGAAGATGTCAGTTAAGTTCAGAAAGCTTGGGTCGGTTTGTGTGAGTGAGTTGTGTGAGTAAGTGAGTCGGCCAACGAACTCGAAGGCGTTAGTACAATACCAAGCCAAGTGCAGGTTTCTGCTGGGTCAAGTCGAAGCTCGATTCGTATTGGGATTCTAGGTTTTTATAAATAATACTGTGATTATATTTAATTCAACGGATTTCTCGAGTTTATATAAAACATTTCATGAATTACTCAATGAATATACCAATAATCATATCGCAAAATATGACCAAGACAACTTTCCTTGAAAATAACACTAAAAATAATTGGTAAAGTTATGACCTGTAATAACATATTTCGAAATGCATGTTAAGATAAGTACCGATTAGTGACGACCTCCCTGTTTTTTGAGGCTTAAATTAAATAAAATGATTGCGTTCTTCCGATTATTATTCCACCGATGTGGAGGTATTAAGCTACTTTCTTAAATTTGTTTAGTGGGCTATATTACATTTTGTTGCATAGACAACAGTTATAGTGAGGTAAGACCACATTTACACGTTATATACATAAAAATATAAAATAAACAGAAGCAAAATAACGGCTAAATAATAATAAAATAGTATATATTACACTATTAAAATTAACAACTGTGTAATAAAACAAACAAAAAATCTAAATAAATAAATGTAAAGGAACAAGTGTAATGATAAGATTTGTTAAGAAACTACCCTTTAGTAGCGCTGCAGTACAAGTTGTTTATGAAAAGGTTCCGTTTATCAGGAATCAATGAGGAAAGAAGTTTAGTGAGATCAGACCAAATCGGCAACGTTTTGAATATTAGGTTCACTATGGATGATGACATTTTTAACAAAGTAAGGAACGTTGGGAGTTCACTGAGGATTATGTATCGTAAGGCTTGAATACGAAAGGAATCCCGTTAAGTGTGGAAGTGACAAAACTTAACATCCATCATAATGATACGATGAATATATATGTCAATATTTGAATACACACACATTCGTACATGGAGGTTATTTCAAAAAAACAAACAAGCAATTTTTCATTTCTATCACTTCCGCAAATCTCAGGCCCATTACTATTCATCCATATTAGCCTAATCAAGAGCGACTTGAGTGATAACCATAATGAGAAGCGGTGGGAGGATGTTTATTCAACAAGGGTGCACAATGCCCCCTAGATAATCCGCTGGCCGACTTGGAGGAGCGGAACGCACAGCTATGACGTATGTTTATGTATACGATAGAGATCGAAGGTGACTATTGTCCCAGAGCAGGGCGTATATAATAGCGGCGCAGGTCGTGCGGTGCGTTGTTTATGGAACTCCCGGTCACGTAGCCGAGCTAATTTATGTCTAATGCTCCTCGGGGGTTGTCCTCTTCGTCGGGGTTGTCCCGGGTTATCTGGGGGCGGTCGCTTGGCTATCTCTCTCTCTTCTGGCGAAGAATCTCATTGGAGCAGTCCATCATAAAGACGAGGCTCAGTGGCTTTCAATCGCTCCTCTCATCGATCTCCTCATTCATTTGTCAATATTTCTCACTCCTGAGAGCCGGGAAGGAGATCTATACCATATATAGTGGATTATTATCAAGAATAGCCCAGTGAAATAAATACCCAGACTATCGAGGGTTGCAAGTCATATCGCTCATCCGATTGAGCGACGAGTTAACATTATTTATAATTTTGGAAAGATATTCTTTCAAATTTTATTGTCAGAAAGATGCATTTAATCAAATCTACTTCATATTTTAATATAAGCAAAATTTGAATGGATAGAAGAATTTTACACTGTTACAATAAATTTTAAAAATGATGTTACTTATTAATTAATAACAACAATACCTCCTTGTTGTTTTCCTTTTCCAAGGCTTCAGAACCAAAAATCTTCCCTTTATAATAGAACTCCTTGCTCCTTACGTTCCTCTGTCAAATCTCTAAATACCAGGTCTCAACCTACTGATTTCTATTTGTATATCGTCGGTTTGTTGCGGAAAGTCACACAATATATATTTGATTGAATTTAACTTTTAAGAAGCGTTTTTGTGAATTTCGATCTCATTTATCGATAAAAAACATTTAAGTGAATAAATTTAATTAAATTTTCAATCTAAATGGAAACTTGTACAATATTTTTATGTCATTATGATACACTTCTTATCTCATCAATTAATCCCTAAGGTGGATTGTTTATCCTGTTTGTAGTCAACAACTATATCTGTTAATTCTAGTTGAAACTAGCTTAGTATTGTGTTTGCTATTGCACTGTGAATATGGAAGAAAATATCATTCATTATCGCCATATTTTGTTGTATTATTTTAAAAAAAGGTAAGCGTGCTGTAGAAGCTCACAGAAAAATTTGTATTGTCTATGGGGATGATGCCTTAACCGAACGCAACTGTCAAAATTGGTTTGCCAAATTTCGTTCAGGAAATTTTGACACCAATGACACCAACGGTCTGGTCTCCCACATGAAATTGAAACGAACAATGTTGAGTCCATCATTGATCAAAATCCCACCCAATCAGGGCGAGAGATTGCTAAGGCCCTAAATGCGTGGCACACAAGTGTAGATAACCAATTTCAACAAGCTCGACTATGCTTCCTGGCTTAATGTTTGAGTCCCTCACTCTCTAACCAAAGTCAACTTGGCAACAAGTGTTTCTGTTTGTGATTCACTACGAAAACGGCAGCAAAACGACCCATTTTTTGAAAAGGTTGGTTACAGGAGGTAAAAAATGGATATTTTACGATAATGTAGTCCGTAAAAAATCTTGGGGACCTAGTAGTGTGACTCCTTGAAGAATGTCATCCACATTGCACCCAAAGAAGATATGTTATTTTCTATGAGCTATTGCCATCAGGACAAACGATTCTACTCTATACTGCTCACAATTAACAAAATTGGATCAATCAATTAAAAATAAACGCCCAGAACTGTTAAATCGGAAGGGTGTTGTGTTCCACTAAGACAACACTAGGCCCTACATCTCATTGGTCACTCGCAATAAATTATTGACATAAAAAACCCACTTGGATCAGTTTTTTTAACAATGACCTATTATCCGACTATAATTCATATTTTAAGTCATAATATATAAAGGTCCAATTATAAAAAATATATATATATATATATATATATATATATATATATATATATATGAATTGATTTTTATATATTTCGTTTTACAATAATTATGTTAATTATCATTTACAATTTTTATACATAACATAAACTCGCGAGACATTTTTTTTGCGCAGGTCTATCGTCCCCCAACCAGAAAGGAATGTCAGCGCCTACGGTTCCGTATGGGCTTGCTTAATCTCAGCCCATTCCAACATGACAGAAACTTTATAGTTGATTAATCTATAGATTTCTTATAATTCTGGAAGTCGGGGAAGGTCGTGAAAAGAATAACTGAGGAAAAAAGTGTGGATTCAATAACGGTTTAGAACAATGGTTTCATGTCTCCCCGCAATCCGGAAGCTTCGTTCCATTGCAAAGAATGCACGAGGCTAAAGCTGGCGATTGTGGCTCGTCCCTCGCTAACTGTTCGTCTTCCGACGTCACGCTCTATTGAGATATTGCCACCGCCTCTTTAATTAACAAATATCTAGTGTATTATTGTCTATATTTAATATGCATCAATTAATACAACGCTACAAGGAGACTTGGCCGTCTTCCTATTTCTTTGTGTGGAAAGAATTGGTAGCAATGGTTATAGATTTTTTTTTTCTTTGTGTCTTATCACAGATAGGAGCTTTGTTTATATACTAGTAGTACTCGAGTTCTCAGTTTTTTACTGAAATAATTTTATTTATCACCTCAAGTGGATAAAAAAAATACAGTAATTATACGTTGTGCAGTTATGCTGTACTTTACAATTTTATCCATTTTACAGTTATACACCCGGCAATATTAATATTATATAGATGTAAAAATATTACAACACAATCATTATTTATGCAGTAACCGAATAAATAAAGTTTGATCACAAAATAGATAAAAATAGAATAAGGAGAAGTATGCCATAGTTTGCCAGTTGAGATATATGCAATAGTTTTTAACAACTAGATTGCTTTAACCGCCTAAGTTTAATAAACAGATAGCGACATTTTATTACATTTATATAAACATTTAGTTATTTTTATACACTTTACTTCATTGATCTCAGTTTCAAGTCTCAAATTTTAAAATATTTTACATCTCTTTTATAAACATTATCATATTCAGATGTTCATAGGAAACCAAATCTGGCTATCTAAAAATTTAATACCTCCCTGCATAGTCTGATCAAGTTTGATTTCCGTTAACTCCTTACTAAATTTCTATTGAACTAATAAAAGCCTATATTCGTTTAATAAAAATTATTTTACTTGATTTAAACTGATACATGATTCCTTGATAAAGTTTTACATAAAACACATTAAAATTAACGCAAAGAGACTGCAGGATGTGTAATTGTATATAATCTACGATTTTTAAATTCTATTTTCACTTGAAATGCTTTTAAGAAGAGGGGAGCAATAAAATATTTTGGGGAGGTGCATACGCCATCGACCTTTGGGAGGGGGGGAGTGGAGTGAACAGTTCTGGTTACTGGAACACATGCTTGGTTTATCGATGATAAAAATAGCAGTAACTTAAAATTGTCAAAAACACAATATCTATTAAAATAACTCTACCTCCATCATTCTAATATTCAATATCTCTATTTACTTTATAATTTATATTATCAATACATTATTTTGCAATTATTCGCAGGTGGAAATAAAAATAAATATTATAGTGTTATATGGGTATATAAAGTTCTAAAAAAATTGTGATTTTCTTTTTGCATAACTTTTTTAATCGCATATATATTTTTAAATAGTGGAGTATTTTTATTGCGGTGTTCTAAAAATGGATCAAATCGACAGGCGTGTTCAAACCCCCTCCCCAAGGTTTATGGCGCATAAACCTCTTCCCTCCCCTCTCAACATATATTACAAGAGCATTCTCTGTTTAAAAACAGTGCAACCGAAAGCAGATTTTAAAAATTGCAGATCTTATACAATGACAAAAGTTTTCTCCTTGTTCTCTTCTCTTTTACACTTTATCCCGAAAATTGATGATCCTGTCGAATTTTATCCCCTCAAAAATTCAAAACTGTCAAATGCGCCTCCTCCAAAAATTTTGATGGCTTAACTTACGCCACGAACTCCCATTCCCGTCCTAGCAAATCATCATTGTGTTGTATAGTAAGTATGGATGGCTCTTCTGATCTTTATGATGCCTTTTTTTTTTTTTTCATTGTTTAATAATATATTTAGAAAACCCGGATAATTATATAACTAGTATTCTTATTCGTTGTTTCACCTTATTGGAAAGTGTTTCATATTGGATGTGTGTACTTTTTTTTAAAACTAATCCCCGCTTGCAAGGAAAGTTCATTTTATTGTCTCTTAATTTTTTTTGTATTTAAATTCATATTTTAGTGAAAATGAGGATGTAATAAAATTTAAAATAAATTAATTAACGGCGGATTCTTTAATTTTGGAAAAATGATTGTATGAGATTTGGCTGAAGTAAATTACCGCGACTGTCCATTCGGTTTAAACGCACTTTTTTTTCTTTGAAAGTTTTCCCTCTACATCGTACTTTTTTTCTGCGTTAGAATTTTTCTGGTGTAAAGCATAACTCTAATCTTCCGATAAGGCCTACACAATTGTATTCTGAAAATTTAAAATAAATAAATAAAAACTCGTGGAAAATCTGAATCTGTTTCGCAGACAGAAATCGCTAGTATCGAAGTTTCACACCATTAATTTTATGAATTATTAGAAATGCAGTATTTTCTAGGTTATTCGAGACATTATTATTTTATTGTTTAATAAGATAATTGGTGATACACAGCACTTCCTGTGAGGTTGACATTTGCTAACAGTCTTATATTATAAATCTTATCTCTCCAGTTTCCTTTCCCTATCATCAGAATACACATTCTTATAATTATTAATCTCTCTACATATTTCACTCCCATTGTAAAAAACCATACAAAATTTCGTCGTATAATTAAAATATTTTAAACATTATTTTATATAGGATTGCATAGTTCTCTCTTTCTTATGACAAAATACCAATAAAGGGAGAAATATACCAAAACATAAGATAGATTATTTTGATTTTCAAGGTTTACATTTCATTTATGTATACGCGTTTTAAAATTACGTAATATATACACCGAAATACATTTCAATGTAATTTTATTTCATGGTGATATGGATTATTCAATTTTTGCTAATTATTCTCAAGTTTAGCGACGTGGGTTCGAACCCGGTTCGGTGTGTAGAAATTTATTTCATAGCAGATCCATGGAATGAATCTCGACCTTTCCACTCTTTATAGAATAACTACGGTTGTACCTTTATAACTCCCCTCCCAATGTATGCCAGAAATGGCGAAGAAAAAGGGGTCGAAATATTGAACGAATCCCTACATGTTTGTTGAATTCAGAAAATAGCATTCAATGACGTTGACGATTGCCAAAGTAATAGGCTATTTTTTGGTGTTCTTTAAAGAAATGATACAAATTAGGCGTTACCAAACGCCTATAATCGCTCTAATAACATCAGTTAGCATTCACTTATGCAAATTATAATAGAAGCATTGTAGTGTCTATGTAATCGCCGTTGCTAATGCATGTAGAACATATCTTAACAAATATAGGCTTTCACAACACATTAATTTTTAAATAACGGAGAATTTGTCGATTGTAAGAATAAAATAATTCTTGCTATATTATTTGTGAAACATATTAAGAACTTACTTATTTCAATTTTTTTTTTTTATTTTAAATTATAACTACCCGAAATTTTTCATTATATTTGAATTATCCGTTCTTAATATGATAATCAATCGTTTGGGCATAGTCAGGTTTTATAATTACCAAACAGACTAGTTATATTTTTATTTTATTAATCCCATTAAAGTGTCACTGCTCCAATTTAATGAAAAGAACCCAGTACTTTCATTTTTTCCCTCTTTAAAATGTAAAATCTAATTGATCCATACAGATATTATATTAATTTAAGAAATTTCACTCAAATTCTTAGTTTTAGTAACCAGAAATTATTTCTTAAAAAAATATATGTCTTAGTCGATATTTGAATTATGTATAAATTAGATTGAATAGATAATCTAAGTTGGCAAGCATGCAGCCACGTCAGCCTGGCTAGAAGGGGCTACCTACTTCCCGAATCAATTTTCCCATTTTTATTTTTTTTTTACGTTATTAAATCAATATTTATGCATTATAATAAATTGAATGTCCATTTATGAAAACGGCGTAATTCCTTTTAAATATTAATAATGTTGATTGTTCATAAATAAACCAAGAGGAAAGATTATTTGGATTACAAAATGAATAAACCTTTCCTAAAATAATTATAATTTAGGCCTCTGGATAAGGCACAGGCAGATCTACAGGTGTGGGGGAAGGAGCTTTCCGACTGAAGCCTCTCCCCCCCCCCAAAAAAATGGTAAAATGTAACGATGTTTATGGTAAAAAATTATCTCTTAAAGTATTATTGTTTGTGTAATTACATTTAATAGAACTTTAAGAATCACTTGAACACCATTCTATATAGGTAGTTAGTATCTTTCATTTTTCTCCAAAGTAATTATCGTTATTTTTATGAAAAAAAAGCTTTCGGGCTGAAGCTCCCCCCCCAAAAATTAAATCCTGGATCCGCTAGTGCAGTTAGATAAGAATTTGAAACATGTAACTTAAAAACCATTCTAAACAAAAGATTGTTTTTTTTTTTATGTTGAACAGAACTATTACAGATAATAGAGCTATATCTAATAATAGAGCTGATATCTTAGGTAGGATGTGTTCTCCGACCATAGTCGCCTTTAAGAGAATTGTTTTTAACCATGTCAACATTGTTCACGAAACATAGAGCCTGCCATTTCTGAAAATTTATTCCAATAATAGTAGAAAAATTGAGATTCTGTTTTCTCCCAACTCAGCCAAAGATAAGGCAAGAGCGGATTTTTTTTTGTCTGGAAAGTAAGTTTATTAAATAATTGTATTGAAATATTACTTTATAGTATATTTCACAACTTTAACTATATTAAATCGGTTGTCATAGGCATAAACCAGGTAATTAATTAATTTCATTGATACATCAACAACGATCGATTTCTTTGGATGAGCTTGTCTACTTATTAATCTTCACTCATCTAATAAACGATGATTTTATTCATGAATACTGATAGATATATTTCACACAGCCTTTTTTTCTGAATTATTATTTTTTAGGGGAGTGAGGAGAGAGGAGAATTCCATCTACTTTGGAATCACCACTGCGATAAAATGCACTTAGTTTTGTTTAAACTCAAATTAAGAAAACTGAAGATAATAAGAAACATAATTACGAGTTGGCTTCCCAGTGTCAAGGGACTTCTATCTCTGTCATTAATCCTCCGCGCCGGAAAAACTCCACATAACCGAAAAAGCGAGGAAGGAGAGAGCAAAAAAAAAAGTCTGGCTTTTTAATTACCAACATCTTACTAAACGAGATTATTTAAAACATCTTATTCTAAATGATATTTTGTGGGTTTAACAACCTATGAATGTACCCCGAATAGGTCAGAAAGTAGGGTTATAAGTGCCAGAAATATGAATTTTAATATTATAACGACTAAACACAGCTCTACAAACCTGATTTTAATAATTTATGAATTCGTGCTGATATTATAATCAGATGGAAAATTAATTTAATTGCTCACTAATTTAATTCTTTAAATATATTTTTGAATCTAAATTTATTATGCTTCATTAAATGTATTTAAGATTATGAACATGTTTTACTCATCTATGAAATATTTGTGTATTACACTTTTTCTTTAACAGACGTACAATAAAATATTTTTTTAACAATTTCATTATCCCGAATCAGTGACTCATATATATACTCTTTATCAAACTTTGATAATTTTTAAAATTTACATTTAGTTACCATTAAATATTAATTTTCAAAAATTATTAATGATTTTTTTTCATTACTCTCTATTATCTTCTACGACTTTGTACGTTAGATATTGTTCCTACTAACATTATCCTATATATTATACGTATACATTCTGATTATTATTTCCGTAAATTTGTTTTCAGCCTAAAAAACATTTTTGCTCTAGTCAATTTTAAAATTATTTCAGTTTATGTTGAATATTTTTTTATTACTAATAATAATGGGGAACAGTTAATTATTTAAAATAAACCAAATTAAAAGTACTTAAAATTTTTTTGAATAGTGTGCATTTAAGCCGTTAGGCATTATCAATGAGGATAAAACCTATCTGATATAAATTTTTATCTTCCTCCTTGTGCCATCTAGCGTGGAGGGTAGCTGATGCTTAAGACCATCTTATTGTCCATTGATGTAACGAGTTTAATCAAAATCGTTAAGAGCCAATTTTTGAGAAAATCGTAAAATCAATACAAAGTGCCTTTTTCAGTTTGATGAAAAAGTTGCTGTAACATCACAGCCATATACCTACCTTAAATATGTATTTACAGATTCCTCCGACATTTTGTTTTTTGAGCCAGGTCGTTCACATTCATAAAACACACACACACATACCATTTTGTGGGACTTAATTATTTGGGGTGAGGGGACTTCAAAACGTGAATTTCCATTGAAAACCCAGATTTGAAATTTTTCACGATCGCAATACTTTCCCTTACTATATAGGTAAGTGAAAGTAAAAATTAAATAATGAGTTACAAATTCAATTCATCACAAGTATTCCATACACCCACCAAATATTCCAAACTAAAGAGGGTCAAACAATATTTGATATAAATTTAATGATGGGGGAATCCAGTAACTGTAATATCACAGTTCCATCCTTAACTAGATCCACTAATTTTCCATCACAAGAAAATTTAATATTCTAAGGGAAAATGAGAACTGAATTTGTTTTTCATAGGAAGCCTGCATTTTATCCACTAAGCTCCCATGCTGTAATCATGTTTGTTAAATATTACCATCAGCTCTTAAGAAATTTAATATGTTATCAGCCATTGTAACTAAAACTATATTCTTAAAAATGTTATTATAAAAAATATTTATGTTTAAATCAGATCTTCGGTTAGCAATAATTCTTTTTTTTTTAATTTGATTCATTTTTTATTATGATTTGTAATATATTTTAATTAAAAATAAAATAATGAGAAAAATTATTTTATTTTCAGCATACCCTGACCGGTCATTCTGGCAAAGTACTAGCAGCCAAATTTCTAGGAGACCCGAACAAAGTTGCTACAGGAAGCCATGACAGAACACTTAAAATATGGGATTTGCGGAGTAAAGCTTGTAAGTATTGGTGATATAAGAATTTTCTTTTCAGTTGTTAATTTTCAAATATTTTAAAATAAAATTTATTAACTATCTGGTTATGCTAGGCATTGAAACAAAGTTCGCTGGTTCATGTTGTAACGATCTGGTAATATCAGATAGCGCAGGTACAACAATAATCAGCGGACACTTTGACAAGAAGATCAGATGTTGGGACACCCGCACGTCAGATTCCAACAAGAGAGAAATATTAGTGCAAGGAAAGGTCACTTCACTGGATATGGGAAGGGGTAATCTACCATTTCTCTCAATTTTTTTTTTTTTCATTTTTTTTCTTCTATTGTGTAATGAAAGTTCAAAAAAGGGAAAATAAAACGCACATGTAATGAAATTATCCCGTTTAATTAAATGAATACATATTACATTTAACAAAATCAGATGAAATTTTGAAGAAAATATAAATTCACTTCTTTACATGTGCGATTTATTAGTTTTAATTCTTTATTAAATTTTGTTCGAATTGAAGGCGACATTTGCATTTTTTTTTTTAATCTGCTTTCCTGGAAACTTACTTTCTTTATAATGCACCTTCATTTATTCCTGTAAAAAAATAATAAAACACAGATTAACCTTTATTATTCATTTTAAAATAAGTATTAAATTAATTACGTACATTTTAATCACTAATTTTACTTTTTTCCAATTGTAGAAGGAAACACTGTGTTGGCTTGTATTAGGGATGAGTCATTGAGAGTGATAGACCTCAGGGTGAACCAGATAGTCTCAACCTATAAGTAAGAAATTTTATTTTTATTATTAAAGAATTTTTTAAAAATTAGCTGTATTTTTAACGAAAACTTTAAAGCCAGATAATTAAAAAAAAATTAATAGTTATTGCTATAATAATTCCGAACATATTGCATGAAAATAAAAATGAACTTTTAATATATATAGACATTGTAGAAGTAAGTTGCAAGATTTTATCACCCCATGATGACCACCTTGGAATATTACATTAAACTGTTAAAGTATGGCAATATATAAATTCATAAAAGATAGAACAAACATACCCATGCGAAAACTCTCACATTTTATATTTATGCTTGATATTTGTTTCTTAGCTATTCTTTCTGTTTTTTGTTTTTTTCTATCATAACATTTGTAGAAACCTAAACAAGTTATATATATATCATAGCAACCTTGGTACCTGGGAAGCTGTCACTAAAATTTGTGTTGGCCAACTGCATCATGCTTAGTCTTAAAAACGGTAAATTTCGGGGCTTTAAAATACAAGGCTCTGTATGTTCCATTGGATATCCTAGTAGAAATCTCTAAAAAACCTAGCTCGTCCATGTTTTGACCTGCTGACTTTACCATAGAGTTCTTAAACCTTCTACATTTTTCAATTACTTTAATTATTAAAGTTGCATTAAAAAATTCAAGTATGAATAGAAAGTAAAATTTGTTACTTGTGCATGAAATTCTTCATCTTTTGACACTTTTGTGGTCATAAAAGGTATCTATCTATATTATGTAATATTGTCTAACGTTGATATTATTCATACCTTTATACTTAAAAGTGTTAATATTTCATGGTTATCATTTTTTTAATTAGGGATTCTGTAATGTCTGCAACTTTGGCACACATTAAAATAAATTTATTCTTCTCTGTATATTTTTCTTTTTTGATCATAATCCCCCCTCTTTCTTCAAACTAACTTCATCTTCAATTAATTATTCTACTGCCATTTCCTTGTTAAATTAATTTTGTCTTAATGAAATATTATAATAGGTATTTAATAAGTATAAACTGTTGATTTTGTTATTACTATTATTGGAATAGTGTGATAATATATCGATAATTTATTCCCACTGTGAATAAACATTGAGTAATTAAACAGTCACAGTAATAATTTATAGTGGGCCTTTAATACTGTGTAGATCAGAACAAATAAAATCACTGGTGTCGCAAAAGATACTTATACAAGGGTAGGAAAGTATGAATCATATGAAGATAAATTTTATGAACTATAAATGTACAATTTACATTTAAATGACAAGCAGACATATTGAAAAACTAATTATAAATTATATATATATATATATATATATTTTGTTTAATCAACAAACTTTCTGGAATTTGGTATTGAAACAGATTAGCACTTATGGTTGTATAAGAAGTAGATAATTATTTATACTTCAATTATCAACTGAAATACTAATTACCTCTTATGATTGTGTCTCCATAGCAGTAATTTCTTCATTTTCTAAATGAAGAAATTAAGTTCCTTCATTTTTAAAAATGGGTGTTAAAGAAGTGTTAATATTTATCATGTGATAAATTTGTTCTGTGAATGTTAATATGGACCACAAATGCAATGGTCATTAGTCCAACAAACAATTTCCAGCTTAAATTGTTTGATTTCTTGGAAAATCTTATGTAATTTAGTTTGTTCTTTAAAACATGTATATGAATTACAATATCATCATTCTGAATCTTTTCAAGTATAATAGTTCCATTGCTATAGTCTTCCTGGGAATCGCTCTAGCTTCACTATCAGCAAAATACCAAACATGGATGAAAAATTGTAGTAGTATCTAATTATTATCTGAACTAACCGCTCCAATGGTAGTAGCTGTTGAGGAGGTCTTTAGACACTTTGAATAAATTTATGTAGTACTTCTGTAATTTAAAATACGTATGAATTGTTTTTTTATCAACATAAAAAATGGAGGATATAATAATAACTAAGTATATCTTAATAGCTATACTATTGTTCACAAATAATTTATTTTATTTTCCTTAAAAATAGTGAAAAACATACATGAATTCAAACGGAATGTTTTGGTGTAATAATTTAAGAGTATATAAATTGAAAAAAATACCACTGCAATACATGGAGGGTGAGAGTTTTGGGTTCAGTACTTTCAAGGATTCGCTGTCTCTTGATCAAAGATTGTGCAAGGTGATTTATTTGGCCTAGATCTTGTTCAACCTCCAGGTTTCCCCTTAATCAATTATTCAATGAAGATTACCCACTTTATCAGGATCGAATGTGCCCCAGAACCACAGAGTCGATCTATGTCTGATGTGACAGAATAAACAATTTAATAAAAAGTTAATTACCTTCCATAACCGGACTCGAACCTGAGACAGCAGAGTGCCTTACTCACTGAGCCACCACCCTGCACTGTATAAATTGAAAAATTGAATAATCTTTCATAAAATTTTGTGAAGTCCCATCCGAGAGCTCAAGGACAGAAGTTTTGATATATGACTTTTGTGCATACAACTGACAGAAAAATTGATATTAATCCACCAAAAAATACTACGCCCAATTTTATATACTAAAATAAAAATCTTTTTTAAAAATTTGTTTAGTCCCACAAAAGGGTTTTTAAATCTTGAAAGTCATTATTATGAAGCATTATACCCATGATAATTTGAAAGGTTTCTAAATTCCCTAGAAAACTAAACATTGAACTAGATAATTTTTAGTAAACATAAAGAAAGCCGAATGTAATTTGAACAAATGTTTAGAATGAACCATTGTAATACAACAAATAAGAGAAAATTAATTCTTTCCTTTCATATAAAATCATTTACTTATTTCCATATTGAATTAACACTTGTTCACTGAGCAATACTCCATGCATATTATTCACATGGACTAATGAGTTTTTTTTATTGTTAAAAGCCTGCTTTGATCATTTTATTTGTATGCCCAAATAGAGGTTATTTATCTTTTGTTAGATTTCTTACAAACTTATCGTTACGTTACAAAAATAACGTATAACATTATTTGCATTATCAATTGCTAATATTACTTCATTGATCAATTCAAGCCTAAAATGAGTACTTGATGCATAATAAATTTTAATGAGATCATGAAACTAACAGATTGTAAAGATTAAAATTTTTATAAACTCTTTAATATTAATATATGAACAGTTCATAATAATGCCAGATTATTTCCCATGGATTGGTGATATGTTTAAATAAGAACGAATAAAAACCTACTATGAATTAATCAAAATATGCTCTATTGGTTAAAAAGCTATTTCAAAACAAAATTGTGATGCTGTCAATAATTTCTGCCATTACTTTATTTATTCTCAAATAGTAACTTTTTATAAGGAGGAAAGTATCAAGCTATTAAGTTAGAGGCACCAATGGAGCTTATTTTTATTAATTAATACGATAGTCCCTCCGAATTTATTAACGTTAACTCAAAAACCAGATGTTACAAAGACTTTAAAAATAACAATTAACTTATAATAAAACAAACCTCTTAAATAATTAAAATCAAATGTTTTAGGGCCGAAGGATTTAAAGTAGGATGCGATTGGACCAGAGCAGTTTACAGTTCCAATGGAGATTTCGTGACTGCAGGCAGCAGTGACGGTAATATCTACGTTTGGAACACATCGTCAGAGCTCCTCCACGCTGTCCTCAAGTACCACCAGTCAGTATACCTTAACTCACAAAAGCTATTAAACATTTTATTTTTACTCATTTTGGTTAATTGTAATTTATAATTTCTCAGTTTCTAGAATTAATTGTAAATAATAAAAAAAGTTGGTTCAGAGTTGGAGTCAGTGAATTACATAAAAAAATAGATATTTTTTGTGTATTTCCCCTCCTCACAACCAACTTCTCTTACTGTACCAGCTGTCCGCCATTTTAAATAATGAAATTTGAAAAAATTAACTGTTCTGTCAAAGATAAAAACAGAGCTGGGCATAAAAAAAAATTAATTGAAACAATGTAAATACAAAATAAATAATACTCACTTAATTTTTTTTTTTTAATTTTCACAAAAAATATTAAATTTGGATTTTTCCTTTTCTTATACTAGAAAACCACAAATAGGGACAGCTATAGGCCAGCCAATCAAGATTCGTAGCTGAAATATTTAAATGAGTGATTTGCTCAGTATATTTATCATAAATCATAAGCTTTTTCAAATACATCATTAAGTTTAGGGCATTATTTTGTTTGGAAACTCATATTAAAATGTGAATGAACTCACAAGTGCAATGAGTATTCCTTGTATTCAGCTTCAGAACATGAAATCAGTCCCCTCCATTTCAATATCGTGGAATATACTTTGTACAGGGCCACGCCATGTTTGTACCTCGTTAACACATTTATCTTGATTAGAATTTTTATTCTTTCTCCTTTTCCAAATTTGTTCTTCTTTTGGCTTCCCACAAAATGACCTTGCTTACATAAGCTTTGTTGGTGTCCTCTCTTCTCTCATATATAACCCTCAGGGAGTGATTTTGAAGCTTTACGAATTTATTCATTCAGTCAATCCTCATCAGCAAAAAATTCTGTGGAGATATAATATTTCTGCTACCATAATTCTGTATAAGTATTTAGTGACTTGTTTTCTATTCTTAAAGAAAAGTATACTGAACTAGTAAAACTACTTTGCATTGCCCTAAAAAAATGATGATACGCAATCACCATGAATGCTGTATTTTCTGTATACTTGAAAGGGATAGGGACTTTCCAGGAATTAGAGGAAAGACCGAATATTCGAATACTGGAACCACATGGAGCCAAGCAAACTTAATTGAAATTTTAAATTTTTAAAAAATGTATTGTTTAAATCAGTATTTGTTACAAAACCGTACCTAAATGGAAACCTTATAGTTTTATATTCCGGCAGCTTCTCCCATAACCATAAAAAAAAAAAAAAATAATAAAATAACAACAAATATAAATAAATAATTCCTGATAAATTAAAAGATTACAGCCAGTTGGTTGTTAGAATAACAACACTTTGAAAATAACTAATTATGGAAATAGAAATTTCAAAAGAAAAAATAAATTATAAAATGCTTCCCCTATATTGAGGTAAATTTTTTTTATCTGATTACGTCCATATTTCATTGGTATGACATCAAATATAAGAAGCTCTTTCTTACTAGTTTTTTCACTAATGTAGCAGTACAGTATATTTTATTGATGGAACATTGAAAGTTGGGAAATTGGAAATAGGTAATTTTCATAGAGCATTATTTTCTTGGTACATGAGACATTACAAATAATTAAAACTCAAATGAAAAGGTTTAAAGGTTGGAAATAAAAACTTCCTTCAATGAAAACAAATTTTGTATTTCTTACTTACATTTTATACTTATAGTTGATGTTTTGGGATCCATTTTCCCATCATCAGAACTATCCCTGCAATTTTAGAATTTTAAATGCTTTGCAATATGGTAATAGGTTGTTTTAATATATATATTTAAATCCATACAAGATACTTTATTTAATTTGATTTACTTTTAAATTTACAAAAAAAAAAAGTCCAAAATTTATGATTTGTCTTGTTACAAAATTTTAATGAGGTAATTAATTAATTTTATAAATTCAATTTAATTTTTAAAAAATTTTAAACTAGGAATAAAGAAGCTTATTATCATATTAAAGTACTGTATAGGAGAAAAGATCGTATGTAAAATAAACTCAGTTAAATATTAGATCATTTACTAATTTCAATTAATGGAAAATAGTTTTGTTTAATCTTTAGAAAGAGAGAGAACCGGATTTTATTCAAATATCTTTTTGTTCGTATGATTAAGAATGGAAATGATATGACATTAATTGATATTGTAACATTTGTTTCTGCCATGTAACGTATATATGTTGTTTTATTGCTCCAAAAAAATTTAGAGCAAATTATTATTTACTTTAATCTTTCACAGTTTATAAATTTTCATTTGACAAATTAACATTTTCTATAATGAAACCATGAAATGATAAATTACAATTGCTATATGTTTCTATTACGAAATCAAATTGAAGAACTGTAATGTATTTTTTATTTATTTACTGGACTACAGATTTCACACATTTAGACAAATTTTAAGAAGTAAATAGGTTTTTGTAATAAATCAATTATGTCCAATTAATTTTTATTAAGATTATAAATTAATTTCAAATGAAAAATTACTTTTTATCAGTAATTTTGGTTAAAAAAAAAAAAAAAAAATCCTACAACATTTAAATTCATCTTGATTACCCTTAGTAAATGAGCAAGAAGACAAAAATTTTAAGTTATAATTTCTTCATCAGGCCAAAACTCCAGCCCAACCTGTACTATTTACCATATCTCGTCCCCTTTATTTTTATGGTCAAGGTAAAATCCAAACTGAAGGGAAGATATTTTAAGCATTTGATGGTTAAAAAAGACCTCAACATGGTTTCAAAAAATTATAAATAACAAACCTTAACAACAATGAAATATTCACAGGAGTTACAGGGGTATATCTAAACAGATAAAATTTAAATTGTAAAAGAAAACCAATAAATTCAACTGTACCACCTAGAGAAAATAAAGAAAATTTCATACCTCAATCTATAAAAAAAAAAAAAAAAAGAAGAAGAAAATACTTGTTGCTAAGTTCACTTAAAGAAAATAAAATTAATAAATCAAAGTTAGTCATAAAAGCATTACTGGTAACTTACCTCAAATTTTTTAAATTAAGAATATAATAAAAGTCTGCCAAGTAGAGTCGGTATAGCTTCCTCACTATTTCTATTCAGTACACAATTGTGTACCTATATTTCAAGGCCAATGATTTGTCTTTTGAGAATCTATGACAAGCGGTTTTTAAAGTGTATAGATTAAGCAAAATACATCTGTGCATGCTATAGTATAGCAAAAGTAGTCGATGGAATTTGAAAGAATTGATCGTATACAATTTATTCAGTAGATCTCAACTTTGAGCAAAATCAAATGATCTATACTTTGAGAAAAATCGAACGATCTATTTTTGGCATATAAGCATATTGAGGAAAATATATTTGCGCACGTGCAAGCGAAAGGAGTGGATGGAATTTGATCAAATTGATGCGGAACTATCTAGGTTGATGTATTTATTTTCCTTGAAGTTTTTTTCAAAATGGAATCAATATAAAAAAAAAAGATGGAGATCAGTAGATTTCACTAAAGACAGAAAAACACGAAATCAAATTTATTCCTCGGTATCTGAAACATAAGAGTGAAAATTGTTTATTCCGAGAATTTTTTTTTTCTATTCCTGCATGAATCTTATTCTAGTTATCTTATTTATGGCAGTCAAGAAGCAAAAACTAAAAAATCCAACATGGCAACAAGTTAATGGATGGAACTTGTCTAATTAGCATAGTAGATTAATTCACTTAAAATTTCATTGGGGAAAAATTTAAATACCTGGGAGTGGCATACCAAAACAAAATGCAGGTCGAAACAAAAGCCAGAACAACATGCTCTGGCAATAATGTTAAAATCAAAAGAACTAACATGGAATGTCAAAATAACGGCGTATAAAAAAACCATTACTAAGCCAGTCATTACTTACAAGTGTAAAACGTGGATTTTAACGAAGGAAAATGAGAGGTTAATGAAAATTTGGGAAATTCATAAGGAAAAAGTCCCAAAAGAATAAATGATCAGTGGCAAATAAGAAAAAATGGCAAGTCATATGAGTGATAATATTATATTATATGAGTAATAGTAGTGACAATATTGTAGTCATTGTCAAAAGGCACCGTCTCAGATGGCTTGGTCATATAACAAGATAGGTTGCCACAGAAACTTCTCTATAGCCACTCAGGAGGGGCATACCTTTGGGGAGTAACCCTGCTGTGTTGAATGCCGACATAGAAGATGACTTCAGCCGTATGGGTGTAAGAAGACGGAAGAGAACAGCTATGGATAGGGAAGCCTGGCGGAAGCTTATTTCTGAGACCCCAGGTCCATTAAGGACTGTTGAGCGAATTAATAATAATATTTCATGAGTGACAATTAAGGAGAACTAATTAACGTGAATCTAGACAGATTTTTCACTGTCCTTAAACCCAAGCGAGGTGGTAGGAACAATACTGCCAAATTGGTCACAAAAAGATTGGATGTGGAGACCACATCGCCAGACTAAAGATCTACGTGGTCTATAACACTAACGAAATAAAAAAAAAAATTATGATATGAAAGAATGGTATTATATATGTACATAATAAAATCATGCTATACGACTATTGTAGACAATACAAAATCTTGTTACATTAAAAAATTAATAAAATAATTACAGCATCAGCACTAATGGAAATTGAAGAAGATTGCACATTTAGGAATATTCATAAAAACCACTATTTAATTAATTGCAGCGCTTTGACAAATTTGTTCAATAAAAATATTTTTTATGTTCTAAAACTTCCTCAGAATTATTTTCCATGATAATTAAAAAAAGGTTGAACGGATCCTTTCGCGGGCCTATTTGGCAGCACCTTTCTCTTCAGTATATGTTCAAACCCACATTGTGGATGAGCATTTCACGTTCATGGACATGACAGTTGGCAGGCAGGCTGTATGAAGCCTAAAATATTCTTCCCCTAGGGCCCAGTGGCAAAGAGGGCACCCCAGATTACGAACTATAATAGAAATAAATAATCTTCATGAAAACAGTGATATTTCTATGTGCTTTTTACTCTCCGATTGATTCCTTTACACTTCTGCGAGAGCTTGAACTGATTATTGGCACTGTAAGAAGTAATGAGTCCAGAACGAAATCTTAAATCAGGCTCCTTTGCCTCATTGTGGCGGAAAGTTCATATAGAGCAATAATTTTGCATTTTTCAATTCATTAATCACTGCTGTGGCGAAGTTCTGAAGATCCAGCATGTATTCTGGGTTAAATTGTTCAACTTAATTTACTCAAAATGCGAATCAATACACTAAGAATTAAATGAATCCATTCTTTCTGATGTTGGCCATCAGGTTGTGATGCAGTTGTGACATGCAAAAGAATTAAATCATACTCAAAATCTGAGGCAGAATGACCTGCTTATATCATTTTGCTTCCCAGAGATTTCTGAATAATAATAATATATTTGTGTTGAAAAGTACAAATTTCTGTTTCCTTCACTTTTATTAAATAATGATTGTATTCCCTTGTACTTTTTGTGAACTCTCAGAAATTTTCCTAGGAAAAACAAAGAAATCAAATCAAGAGAATCAGAAGCCTTTTGAGCCTTGGTGCCCAGGGAAAGTTGTGCCTATATTTTTATCTCTACGACACTGAGAGATGACAAGTTCTTATGGTGACATTTTTATTTCCGTCAGTTCCAGTGTTTCTGTTGTCTGAAAAATTATAGATTCAAAATTTATATCATAGTGTAGTAGGTATGTATAATTGGTAAATGGTTGACTGTCGTGGATAATGAAGAGAAGAATAGTTGGGGTGGTCAGTCAAAAAGGAAGACAAAAATAAATGATAATATTTATTTTTACATAAGCCGACGTTTCAAACATAAGCCGTCGTTCAGTAGGTATGACTCGTAAACATGATAAAATAAAGACTACTGGCAGATTCAGAAAGGAAGGGCCTCTGTGAACGTCTTGCTGCGGCCACATACAACCCACCTACTCTATTGCCTTTTTATTCGACCCTATTTTAATCCTTAATTATAAAGGGGAAAAAAAAAAGCTCATCTTGTCAACTGTCAATTTTATCCAAGTTTCAACTTTTTATTCAACTAATGCCAATTTTAAGAAGAAAAAAAAAAGTTCCTAAATTATATCCATGTAATCTGTACATTCCAAAACATATATAAATTTTATCACAATGCACAACTGAGTATAACATGAATCTTGGTATAGTTTAGGTTCTTCTCTCCATAAAAATCAAGGTAATAAACTAATTTTTCAAGTTACAAATTTTTTGTGTACATAAAAATTTCTATAATTTATTTCCTCTCAACTAATACATACATTCAATGCTTCGGTCTCACTTTATCCATTTTCGAGCCTTTCTTCTAAAAAATATTTATAATAAATTAAGTTTATTATTTCTTATGTATCAACTGGAAACATGCCGAACTATAACCGAGCAAGAAGGCACTTAAATAGTTTTCTCTAATTTACCTAGACTAAACTTTTGAGGTATTATGTTCAACTAAACCAAGTTGTGAATGCGGTATTCAGTGGAGACTGAGGATGATCTCTGTCTCTTAGCACAGAGATTCAAGGACTTGCAATGCAAGTTGGATGCCCTTATCCAAATCGCAAGAGAGTACCTGTGAATCAACATAGGCAAGACGAAAGAGGTGAGGACGAATGAGCGATGTCAGGAGCCTCTTCTCCTGATGGGCAACAACTTGGAACAGGTTGACTCCTTTCTCTACCTGGAAAGGTTAGTCACAAAGGAACTTTTCGCAGAAGATGCAAAATGTTGCATAAAAAGGCCAAAGGAATTTTCGCGCAATTAAACCCAGTTTGGAAGAAAAGAAACCTAAAATTTTCCTAAAAACAGGAAAATACGGCTATTTTAACTATTATGAACGTGAAATTGGTTCTGCTTCATGGCAGCTAAACCTGAAAAGTCACAGAAAGCATCACCCCTCCCTCCACAGACCTTCTTTAACTGATGCTTACATTTATACCAAATACTGGTAATTCGGTGGCCATTACAAATATTGAATGAAGGGCTATGGAAAGTGACCAGCCGGTAACCAATCCATTTGGTAGTAAAGAGATGAAAATGGAAATGGGCACACTCTGAGGAAAAAAGATGAGGCAATTGGAAAAAACGGCCCTACCCTGGAATCTTCGGAAAAAAAGAAAGAAAAGCAGACTGAGAGATACGTTGTGCAAGTCCACAAAGAAGTAATTAGGGTGGGTAGATAAACATGGAACGATGCAAGGATTGCTGATAGAAACAAATGGAAAGCACTTGTGTAGGCCCTATGCTCCAGTGGAAGTCAACGAATTAATAATGATAATTAATAACCAAGTTTTACCTCAACATACTAACTACTGCTAGCAACTTTTTGTATAAGTCTTCCCTTTTTTTTTTTTTTTTTTCGGCATCATAATTTTTGACTGCATGATGTGGGCTTCTTGCAGTTATAAATTTTTTTCGGGAGCACAGATGGCCAGGAGAGGGTCACCCAACCTTACTTGGCTATGGACCACGGCCAATCTTACATTATCCTTCCCACAGACTCACTCACAATCAAGGACAGTGGCTAATCAGTCTAGAACCATGGGTTATGGCTGCTCAGAGGCAGCAGGTGCATGAGGACCTATATTTCTTTCCCTAAAAACCACATTGTAATCCCTGATTAAACAAAGCACGTAGGGTAGGGTCATCATTTATAAGATTGGTGTGAGTTGCATGTAGTTGGCTTATGGGTCTCACATATGGAAGAGAGGGGTGAAGATGTTTATTTAAATACTTCATTTTTTATTTTTGAGTAAATAATTATTGCCAGTGGAATCCCAGGACCAGTATTCAAACTCACAATTTTCGGGTTTGTGGGCTAATGCATTTTAGCATGCGCTCTAACCCACCCTAGACTCATATATATATGTATATAAACAATCTGTATGAATTACTTTGATCATAGTTTGTCATAAATTGTGGAAGAAAATGAAGAGAAATTTAAGTACCTATATAACTGCCTTTTCTAAAGGAATAAGCTTTTTCTGTTATTATGTTGTTGTTTCTTTATTAAACCACATTATTGAATGGAAGATACAAATTGAACAGAGATCATAGGATAAGCAACGAATGGCATTACTTGAGAACTAAACAAGCTAAAACACTACAGCATTAACTTTTTCATTATCAAAGAAAAAAAATATTAAAGCTTGGTTAATGAATATGAATAAACATTTAAAAAATGGCACACCACATACATGTAAGATTCATTTTATCAATTACTAACAGATAAACCATTGGTTAATATTTTTACTCAACTCTACAAACCCTAACTAAAATCACACAAACTAATGATGTAATAAAACCAATTCATTTAAATGTAATGAATTAAAATTCACTAATATCAGATCAAGCTGCCCGATTATTTATTCCGAAATAGCTGAATTCAGTTTCACATCAGAAAATAATTGATATAGCAGCCATTGAGAAATTTAAATTGGCCTAAATATCTGTTGAATGATCCTATTGTCTAGTATTTGATAAAATTAAACATATCTCTTTTCATCTTTTTTTGGCAGCCATAAGTAAATAAAAAACATGCTCGGATACATATTAAGATGTCTCCTAATTTTCATGTCTGGTATCCTCAATTCAGATCAGCACAATTAGCAACCATACAAAAAACACAATCAACAAATTAAGTTTTGTTGACTTGAAGCAGTTAAAGCCATTTTAAAAATAACTTTTAATTGATTTAAACATCTTCTTAATGAATACGAGTAGAGACTAAATGATTACATAATCGCGGACTCCTACTTGACATTTATAACAGTTTGTTTATACTATTGAGTTGCATCACATGAAATGTTAACTTTTCAGAATAATAATCGATGTAATACAATTTTATTAACCAATCAAAATATACTCCTTGACTTCTTTGTACTCAATAAATGTTTATTCAATTTCTGTAAAATCTCACAATCTGAAAGAAAAACATTTCTGGTATTCGGTATCTTAAAGTTAGTCTTAAAAGTTCGAATTTTTAATAAAAGAACTTAAAAAGAAATATTATTTATCATTGATTTTTATATTATTTATTAAAGAACTTAATTTTCTAAGTCTTGATGATTTAACATAATCAAGAAACAATTGAATATATATGAAAAATGGTCTATTAGAATAGTAATTTATAATCCATTAAGTAATTAATTAAACTGTTATTGTTTTCTCTCATGCTTTATAAATATTATCCTAACAGTTAAAATTCCAGTGATACAACCTGATGACATAAAGTAATTAAAAAATTAAGTAAAAGCAAGACTGTTAATTCGCGACAAAACAGAACTTTGGAGGTATAAACAGTTATAACCAACGACCATATAGCTCAAACTGAAAGGCAACATTGCTAGCTCTAGAGAAAAAATATAAGTCAAATACCTTAGTTGAGTAGAATTTTGACTTTATTTAAATATCCCTTTTCTTAGAGTTTTGTTGTACCTTTTCATTGCTTCAATTAGCTCTTAATTTTTTTTATTATTTTCTGATAAATGTCTCTCAGGGAAAAAGACATCTAACTGAAAAGACATCAAACTATAAAAAAAAATCATTGTAATAATTCAATGATATCACATTTTGTTCTTTAAAACCTGTTGCAAAAATTATATTAAAATGCATAAAATAATTAAGCAATCAATAATAATTATGAATTTGTTTACTCACCAACCTTTATCATATTTATACTGCCAATAGAGGATTTCCAAACAGAAATTCCTTCTAGGCATTCGTTCCTAAAAATAAGGTGTGATAAGGACAAAAAACAAGACAGATTTCTGAAGTCATTCATAAAATCTTCATTTATAAGTAAATAAATAATAGTTTTTATGCATTTAATAAATATTTACCGTTAACATTTATCGCATAATAACAAAATTTAGAAATATTTAAAACAATTAATTTTTTTTAAATATATTTGATTTTTCATGCGATAAATCTTAACTCTACATACTTATGTAACAAATTGACTTAATTAATAATAAATTCAATGGGGAAACAGTACAAACAACCAAACGAATATTTTTTATACTTTTTGCGGACATGACTAGCCATTTACTTGAACATTTAAACCAATTGAAATTACAATGTAATCAGTCAACACCACAATGTGTGAACCATTCATACAATATTCGATTTTACAGGAAAAAATAATTATATAATTAAAAAACGTTTTGCCCTAGGTCTTCTGTGACAGCAGTTTCCTGGCACCCCCATGGCAACTACATAGCCAGCGTGGACCGTTCCAAAAGAGCCATCATATGGGCAGACCTCTGACAATGAGCAAACTTTAACCCGCTTTCTTCATTTCAGTACTCACAATTTTACGCTTTGTTTATATATATTTTTTTATTATATATATATATAAACTAATGTAAATATATGGAAAAAAAAACAGTAAATTTAACAAACATTAAAGAGATAAGAACAAATTTGTTAAGATTTTTGAAAAATGTGACACAGTTTATAAGGGCTCTGTATAAATATAATCTATAAATCTATGTATATATTATATAAATTGAACAAAGTAACAAATGTATTAATTCTTATGAAAACTGTTGTGTTGTTAGCTTAAGGCCTCGTGGTTTTGGTATACACTGTTATTTTTACTTTGTTTTGGTTTTATGTTATCTTTTTACTTCCCCACCCTACTATTCAAAACCTCCTGATTTCAAATTAAAATCTAACATTTATAACTTAAAAAGAGAATATCATATATAATACATGATAAATTCTAAATATCATTTTTAACAACAGTGTGCAACATTTATACATTTACAAAAAAAAAATTATTTACACAGTTTCCGACTTCTTTTATTTATTTTTTTTACCCAAAACGGTTTTTAATTATTTTTTTTTATAACTTTTTATATCTTTCTATTAAAAATAACAAACGAATTTGTTGTATTTTCATCTTCTCAGTTTTTTTTCTTTACATATCACACATATTTTTGACACTGTACACTATATACAAATTGGATAACAAAGTAGCGATTTAAAAAAGAAAAAGAAAATTAAAAATAAAAGAAAATGGAATTAATGTCGAAACGAGATCAATAACGTGCGAGTTCATCTCCCACCATTGTTCCCCAGGCGTGAGGTGCCGGGTGCGACCAAGCTCTTTAGCTCCTTCAGTTGCTTGTCCAGGTGGCTGGCCAACGTCCGCCTCTTGAACCTCAGCGATTCGTTGATTACATCCTTGAGCAAGTTTATCTTCATTTCCACGGTTCCCTTCATTCCTTCCAAGTGACCGAACAGCTGGTCGTAATCTATACACATACAATTAAATCATGTAGAAATATATACTTAAAAATTTGATTTATTGGAGTTGAAAAACAAAATTCGGACGTTCCGAAAACTTAAAAATTTGACTTGTGATAATTTACTATCAAAAATACCGCATTTATAATAAATGAAAATATGTAGATAAAAAATTAATAGTAGTTAATTTAACGAAAGCTGATAATATTGTACTATTTATTACTAAACAGAGACAATTATCTCCTTAAACCCCAGAAACCCTATTCTACTGTCTGTTGTGGTGTAAGGAAAGAACGGGCCACACTGCACAGAATACTATCTGTTGAGTTGGTAAGTGATATGCTTTTCATTGAAGTTGTAAGAAATAAATTCCTGCCACATGGAATGAAGTTCATAAGCACTAGAATTCTTATTTCAGTTTGTAGAGATTGCAAGAATGATGCTCAGAATATAAGTGACATTAATAGAGGCCTACAATAAGCCTTCATGGCCGCAGTGGAAAAAAAAAATAGAAAAAGTCATTCTTAAATTTCTTTCTCGAAGAAGTCTATTCTGTTCAATTTCACCTGCTCAAGTACTTGTCAAAATATTCTTCTGATAGAAGTATCTTAATAAGAAATAACATATTTTTGTAACAAGTCTACAGTCGTAATAAAAATAAGGATGTAAAAGATTGTCAGGAATTTCAGTATCGACCCAAACAAAATCTGGGTTATCCTCAGAAATATCATTTGGAAGTTGAGACAAGAACTCGGATCCTTATAATTGATCAGTTGACTAATTATCCATCTATTCATAAAAATAATGAATGAGTAGGTATCTAAGCAATTAATAAAGCGATCTTGATTCGAAAATTATCTATACAAACAAATAAACGGAACAGATAATCTAGGATACATATATATATTTTTTTTTATTAAAATCATCCCTTGGAATTGAGACACAATTTTTAATTTTTGATGAAATTATCATAAAAACTGGACTAACACTATCAGGAAAAAAAAAAGTTGTTAATCAATTTTTTTTTCTCGTCACTGAAATTTAAAATAATGTAATTCAGCACTTTATCTGCGACACCCACACTACTACAGTTTTGTCCAAGTGATAAGTTAGTAAATCTCATCATGTGGTAGCTAAACACACCACTTCATCCCACAGTACTCTAACACTGTGACAGATCATGGTATTGAGGTAGGGAAGATGAGAAACTGTGATAAAACATTACAGCCATGGTGGTATGATATCACTCACCAACAGATTGTATTCTCTCAGTTTTGGTAACCTTCATTATTTTTACCTTACAAAACTGAAATAGGCAAAGAAAACGTACGTTATATAAACTATTGACTCAATTTAACTAATGATCTAACACTCTATTCATTTTAAAAAATATATTGATCCATAAATGACAAATATTGTAATTGTACATTTTAGTTTGAGCAGATAAGACCCTAGTACGTAACTTATTTTGAATTTTCTGCCTAAATATTAGATATTTCTAACTTTAAAAAATCTGATATCAAATTTTAAGAGTAAGTAAAACATTTAATCAACGCTCCCTTCAAAATCCTGTCCCATATAGCCAATTACTCACTCCATTATAGTTTCCAGCAGTAAAAACATAATTATTATCCCATAATAATTATTAGAACTTAAATATATATATATGGAATCCTTTACTTTAATTACAAAATAATATGTTGTGCCAAGAGTGTTACATACATTTCACTATATTCTACTTCTAATTCAATACAAGTATCTTTCTTAAACAAAGCACATCACAATTTATTATTCATTAATTTTACTTGTGACAAGTACATATTTGTCATATGTGTACTTATGTATAAATGTACTTGTTATATACCTATATATATAAATATTCTAACATTATTGCATTTTTAAATGTTTTTTAAGATGTAGTACTATATATATTAGGATAGCGTAACAGATGTTAAAATAAGATTTAAGTTAATCATATATATTTTTTGTCAATTATGTTGATTTGATGAGATGTGCCTCAGATGGGAATAATGTATTGTGTAAATTTTTTTTAAAGAAATCAATTGATATAAGAATGCTGTATTATTTCTTTACCTTTCTAAACATACGTCCATTTTTTTTTTTTTTTTTTTTCAGTTTTGGATAGATATCTCTAAAGAATTTTAATTCGAAAAGAAACTATAGTAAAGATTAACTTTTTTTTACAATGGAGATATCCAAGCTTCTATAATTATTAAGAAAGTTTGGCCTTGAATTTCGCAGTTTTAAACACAAATTAAAGTTTATTACAATAAAAAAAAACATATGATATAAATTATTTTAATGAGGTTTTGACAGATCAATAGTATAGAATAATAATACATCGACTGACCAGTAATAATATAACAACCACTAAGACGACAACCTTCATTTTAAAGAAAGCATAAGTTCAAGATTAAATAAAATAAATCATATAATTGATTTCACAATTTTTGTTTTTAATCAGATTTGATAAAAAGAGACTTGATGAATCAATCATTTTCTACCGACTAATAAAATATTAATTCCATCGAAATCCCACATTAATGCACAGCCTTTCTTAACATAAATTTTTACTGGATTAAATAAGGCCAGAATTTTATTCAACATTTAAGAACCTATATGCCACGATTTTTAAGGCTGGTGTTTGAGAAAAACCTTCGGTTTTTCAAAACGGCAGTTTAAAATCTTAGTTATTTAGTTGAATTTCAAAATATTAATTATTAATATTTTTAAAGAATTAATAAGATTAGAAACTTTAAAACGCTATTCTGAAAAATTGAAGAAATAAAGTTTTCCGGGTTATACTCATAAAAACTCATCACCAATATGAACTTTAAAAAGTGTGGAGTTGGCCGATAAAAGACCTTTTCTTTTATTCCCATTGAGACACAACTTATATTTAAATCACGGATTTTTTTTTAATCATTTATGTTAAATAAATGATATTATTAAATTAATGTATTTTGTATTTAAATAATCACTAATAAATTATGTAAATAAATATAATTTATCCATACACACAATTAAAATTATTGCATTGTGTGATAAGTGCCAAATTTTAATGTCTTTTCAGAAGTAAGATTATAAACCTTTAAGATAAAAAAAAAGTTACAATTATATGTAAAGATTAGTTTTATTTCGATCACCCTATATAAAAGTCTACTTTAGGAAAGATCAAATTTGATGATTATTAAATAACTTTGTGAATGTTTTTTTAATACAAAAGAACCTAATTTTTTTTTTTTACATTTATTTATCCGCACCTGTCAATTATTATTGACAATCAGCAGATGTGCTGGCTTAGTAATGAGAGAAAAATAAAATAAAATAAAAAATAAATAAATAAAAAAGGCTTGATAGGCATGAGGAATAGCAATACCCAGCGGTATCCCTTCCATGGCTTTTATTTACTAACATTATTTAAGCAGATCCCTCATCCAGACCCTTTTCAGTCGTCTTCTGGAGTTCTCGGGCATACTAGTTGTGGCCATTTCTTTTACCAGCTGGTTGGAGTGCCCGTTTAACATGGTATGAAATCGTTTGTAGTACGTTCGTATGTGTTCATTGACTGTCGGAACGTGTAGGTCGGTGTGTAAAGTGTGATTGTTTACGTACCATGGTGCTTGAGTGATTAGTCGTAGTATCTTAGACTGAAAAGTTTGAAGTTTATTTATGTGAGTTGGTTTTGCAATTCCGTATATTTGTAGTCCGTAAGTCCAAAGAGGTTTTAAAAGATACGTGTAAATACTTAGTTTCTGTCTTGCTTTTAATTTGGAAGGTCGTCTTAACAGTGTATGTAACAATTTTAGTCTTAGATTTAATATGATTCAAAGAACCTAATTAAACTTAAAATATAAAAACTTCAAGTATGGTAAACCAAATTGTATAGGTAGGGGAACTACCAAACATCTATGCAATAAGAGAGAATTGATATTCAATCCAATTTTAGGATGTAATGAAAAAAAAAAACAAGGATTTTAAAAGAAAAATAATCTCAATCGGTAAAAAAATAGTTTCAAAATATTGATTATTTTTTTGTTTGCATTTTTTTTCCGCCAACATTTTTGAACATGAAGACTTCAAAGGGATATCATTTTGTAGGATACAGGATGTATATGCATAATTACCTAGGGAGCTTTATTAGTACTGCGCGCCCATATTCCCTCCCTGTCTTTCACCACATCCGATCGACTACAAGAATCACGAGATTATTTGAATGTAGGCTGTATTGTGTGGGCGGGGTGGCCAAATGGGCTAACGCGTGTGCACTGCACCACCGTTGCCCGGCAACCTGGTACATAAGACTTTGATTAAAAAATAGTCAGGAGTTCGCGTCCCGGTGCCCGGAGGAGTTTTTAAATCCTCGGCCACACTCCCTGGCCCGGGAAAACCCCCGTATAGCCTTAAAGACGACGAAGGAGAGAACAAAAAAAAAAAAAAAAGAGGTTGTATTGTTGGTTTAATTGGATTTCTAAATTTTGCGCCCCAAACAAATTTGTGCCCAGGGCTTACCCCCAAAACTTGTCCCATCCTAGATTTATCACTCGATGAACTTAGTACATAATCGCTTTCCATGTATGCAAGAAAAGATAAAGAACTGTTTAAACTCATTCTCAGTCAAATATTAACCTGATATATATGTTTTTTATTTTCTCACCTCGTTTTTACTCAAGTGATTTTGTCAAGACACACATCACATACTTACATAAAGTATAAAAATTGATCTTTAGTACATAAAAATGCCCAAAATAATTATAATATAGAAAGTTACTTTAACACAGAACATTTGTACCCGCACTGAGTACATACAGATACAAGAATCTCCTTTATAACTGCAATAACAGCCACAACACGGATCACAATTAAGCACACTTTGACTAGAAGAAAATAAATCTTAAATGAATAGAATAATTTTTTTAAAAAAGTAGTTTTCTGCCTCTTACAAAACAGTCTAGACCATTGGAACTGAAATGCGGAGGACATCAAAACACAAATTTAATCTTTCCAAGTTTTCAAATTCTTTTCGACATTCCAATCTCTTAAACAAATCTCAATCCAGGACTGGTATTGGTACTGCTATTGGTGGGGGCAACTAGTGACCCTTGAGGTCCTTTTTGCCAAATCCTGGCACCTCACTACCTTGAGGTTGCTGCTATTCATTTTTCCAGGCTGCAAAGAAATAAATATCAACAGACCTCAGGTAGGAATCGAACCCTCATTTAGAACCAGGTACTCTGAAGCCCTCATCCTATCCTCCCATCAAGGGCGGAAATGATAAACGGCACTAATAGCAAGATATTTCATAATACCTCAATCTGGAGGTCTTAGTATTGATCACTTCTCCATTCATGGCCCAAACTCTGGCAGCTAGCAACCTAATTTACACTCTGTGATTGACAGTTTCTTTTAATTCATAATTCACATTATTTGTTCAGTTAGTTTTCATTTTGTTTCTTCAGAGAAATGAGGTCAAATTTAGGAAGAAATGTAAATTTTTACACTTTTTCTTTATTGCCCACAACTAAGCTAGGCACGTAGTAGTAAAATTTTCAATAAAAAACTTTTCATATTTGAAAAAAAAATTACAACCTTAATAGCCTTCGTTCCAAACGTTTCTGGACTAGTGAATAAGACAAAAGCATGAAGATAATCTTTCAATATTGTCTAAAATTTAATTAAAAGAAGATTAATTAATCAAAATGTTTACTTACATTGCTCAGGTTGGGCATAGATTTGCTTTCAGAGAATATTTCATGTCATAAATGAATTCTTCATTTCACTAATTTATATTAGTCATTATATCAGATGAATGTAACTATTTAAGTTGTAAATAGCGCATGAGCTAGTATATAATAAATAATATGTAAATGTTTTCTATTAATATAAATCTTAACAAATAATTGACATACAATAATAATTCTTATATAAAATTAATAAAAATTTAAAAATATTAGATACTGACTCCTGCCTGGCCTCCTGACCTCCCTATACGCTGCAGACCTGACCATTAAGTTGTGCCTCTTGATCTCAGTGATCTGAGATGGAGCAAGAGGTGGGGGTGGAGATAATGGAGGAGTGGAATATGATGGCAATGTTGGTGGATCATCTCTTTCTCCTACTGGAGGCGGAAGCCCGTCGTATGGTTGCAACACAGGAGGGGCAAACTCAGCTGGCGGAGAGCCAGGACTTCCAAGCGAACACTCATCCATGTCTATGTCTGATAAAAAAAGGAAGTCGACAAAGATACATGAATAATTATGCTCATAAAATATTGTAATTAATCTGAAAAACATGATACATAAAAGCAGAAAGATAAAATAGCTCTACCTGAAGATGACACATCACCATTGACCAGTACTAGCACAGGAGGCAGAGAAGGTGGAGATTGTTGAGGTGGCAATGGTGGGGGAGGAGGAGTTGGAGGTTTCTGAACAGACAAAACAGGAGGAGGTGGGCTGGGTGCAGAACTGGGGGCTGGGGCTGGGGCTGGGGCTGGAGCTGGGGCTGGAGCTGGAGCTGCAGCTAGAGCTGGGGCGGGACTAGGAGGTGGCGTAGGAGGAGGGGTGGGGGGTCGTCGGACTACAACGTCCTTAGGGATAGGTCCTGGCTTTCTCTTGTTCGGTCGACCAATTCCTGGCTCCACCAGTGGCCTCTTCTGTCCCCTAGGTGTTCCACTTCCTCCACCACCAACCAGGTCAATATCAGCTTCGTCAACCATCATCCTCTGAAAAATGAAATAGTAAATGGGTTACAACAACAAATAACTATATTGCTTCCTAACTTAATAGGATTATCAAAACACTTAATTATATCCTTATAAGCAACTTCAAAGATTAAATAAACGATCTTGATGAGTAAAAGTGATCACAAATTAAATCTTATCAAGTATTGACCATATAAATTCAAGAAACTATAATACACGGACCTTATCAATCTTGAATGGATTTCCAAACATGTGTTGTCTCACTGGCGTTGATTCAACCTCTCTAAGCTGTGGTGGTGTTTTCTTGAGGTACTCTTGATAATTTCCCATCTGACTGATGGGCATACTATGTATAACATCTGAAATGAAATATTCAATAGTTTCAATTTAAAGTATGAAATTCATTATACAGTTAATAATTCCACTATTTCTGTATGGCCTTTATGTAATGATATTAATTTAAATAACGCACCTTCATCTTGCAGTTTCATATGAGTAGGAGATATATTGAGAAAGTTTGCTCTCATTCGAAGAATCTGGTCCAATAGGCTTCTTCGGGGGATGTCAAAAGCATTTCTGAAACTCTGGCCAGCTCTGTGGCGCCTATGCCCTATGCCCACTACAAAGCTCCCGAATTCATTTAGTTGGTCTCTTAATGTTTGAAATTTATCTGTTAAAGAAATGAAACAGAGATTAAAATACATATCATTAAACAAAATAGAGTATATAAAATGTCTTAATAATACTATGTTTTCTTTGTAATTATTTGGTTTTAAGGACAATAAAAAATTTAAAAAAAGAACAGTTAAAAATTATGATAATCATTTAAAGATTATAAATAATTCGAAATAAAAAAATTAGATCTATATATTTTTCATGTTGTGGCCAAATTTGTAATCCTTCAACAAATATTCAAAAGGTATTAAACTAAGTATACAGAAAACTTGGCCTGGCAATAATTCTGTTAGTACAGTCATGGAGTATATGGGACCAACCCTCTATTCACCATTTTTATTTTTTAAATATGTTAATATTTCAGATTAACAATTATAGACAGCTGGTTCTCAAATGTATTAGGACTGAATAAGTTCTCACTATTTTCTAACAGATGGCAGCACAAGTACTACGTGTGTTTCACCACTTCAGATAGTAATATAATTTTCCAGAAAGACATACTGTTGGTTAGATTGGATTTCAGTGTATGTTGGTTTGCCATAGAGTAAGCATATTTTTTTTTTTAGTTCTAAAAATATCAAGTTTTGTGCCAAATAGAGTATTTGGGGAGGAATTTAATTGCGCTATTTTATTCAAAAGAAATTAGTAGCTGAAGCACACTGTTGAGACTTACAGTGAGCATGTTTTCTTTGGAAGCAAGTATAGACTAGTTTCGGCACTTTGAAAATAATGATTTTAATCTTGGAGATAAACAATGCTCTGGCGCACTGAAAAAGTATGAAGACGGAGAATTGGAGAAATTAATTAATGAAGACTTATGTCAGACGAAGCTGAACTTTAAGGAATGATCCGGAAGAAAGGATATCAAAGACATTTTCTAAGGTGTGAACTGCTGATTCAATGGCAGAAAAAGAAAAGTTTTTGGTGAGTTTTACATCATGAATGGTGATATAAAATGGATATAGTGCAATAATCCTCAGCTTAAAAAATTGTGGGGTAAGCCCGGTCGTATCTGCAAAGCCAAATATCCATCAAAACTATAAATAAATATTTTATATAAAATTTATTATCAAGTTAATTGAAATAAAATACAGACTAATACCTTGAAGTAAAGGATGAGACACTAAATCCCTTTTGAAGGGACTCCTAGGTGTAACGCGTACGCCCTCAGGTCCCTGATTAGCCTTAGCACTCAACTGCTTACTACTAACTTCATTGCACAATCTGAAACAATTTTATATAATCACAAATTGGAACAAAAATATTTACACAAGTAAAAACATAATAAGTATATACGGTCAACTTCAACAAAGTATCTTATTTATATATTAATATATAAAATCAAAGAATTGGTTTGTTTTAATTCACTAATTTCAGGAACTAAAAGTCTGATTTCAAAATGTGTTTAACATTAAATGAATTGTTTACTGAATAAGGTTGGTTGTTCAGGGCTATATAACACATCATTACATTATGCCCATTGGAACTGATATGCCATAAACGTCAATTACTCTGAAAAACTGGAGACAATAATGGAAAGAAATTCCCCTGCTATTGGATCATAAGTATTGTAAAATACATGAAATACACTTCTATTTAATGTATTTAGGCATAAAACACAAAAATAATAAATGCTGAACTTACTTCTCATATTCTAGTTTTGCTTGATTTTTAAGACGTTTGAGGTAATTTAGAACACTAAAACTAAGAGAATTTTCCATATTATCTGGTATCAAGTTCTGGGCAACACTTCCTGTAGCACCCATTCTAGTGAGTGCTCTCCTCAGAGGCTAAAAAAGTAATTAAAAAATTAATGATTTTTTTCTTACAATAGAGATAGAGAGAGATGTAAATATTAAAAAAAAAATGTGGCAATACTTCGATATATCGGACCCCGATATTCTTAATATTTACTTAATATTTAACAAAAGGGAACAGTATTAACGTTGGATCAAACTCTCAGATTTTTAGAAGCATTAATTGTACTGTTACTGGTACTGGTAAGGGGAACTAATCCGGCAAGTGGGGCACATGATCCTTTTTTCCAACCCATAAGAGCTATTTTGAGGTTGTCACTATGTACTAAGCAGAGTGGGAGTGTCAAGATTCATTTCCCAGTTCTGCTGAGAAATACATAATAACCAATATAGGAGGGAATCGAACATACATTCCAACATAACACACTTAAATAGTAATAATTATATATTGCTCAATATATATATATATATATATATATATATATATAAACCTGTAACACTACAACCCAATGAAGGTTCTTGGGTTCAGTACTATTTAGGGAAAGCACTGTTTCTAGGTCAACGATTGTGCAAGGAAGTGATTTGACCGAGATCCCGCTCAACCGCCAGGTTTTCCCCCTTAACTAATTATTTAATTAAGGATATCCACTTAATTAAATAATAGAATATCACTGCCGGGTGTGCTTCAGGAGGGTCACCTCACGGCCAATGAAACAGATAAATAAATTTTCTGCCATGAGCCGCCGTTCGAGCCTGGGACCTTTAAGCAGACCTACACGTCGGTGCATCGGCATTCGTTCGAAATCCAATAAGGTTCATTCACGAGAAGTGGAGGGGGGACTGAGGTAAAAATAGTGGGGAGACTAACCATACTACTGGATAGGTTAGGTTACCTAGGACTCACAACCATTATAAATTTCTGATTTCCATTACAAGTAAATAGTTAAATAACTTTTCATATCTCTTGTTTATATTTTTAAACCATCTTAACTATTTCTTTTGAATAGTGAAGTGGGCAATAAATTTTTAAAAAAATGTGGAAACTTCACAATTTACTTTAAGAAAAAAAAAAACTTTAACGTTGTGTATATTTGTCAGTTCTTTTCCCATTTTCCTCAACAAATCTATTATTTTAAAAAGAAAATAAGAGACCAACTGGAAGAGTAAGAACGTCCTATAAACCATAATGATGATCAACATTTTATTAGCAAGCTAACAGTAATAGAGAACAATTTAAGCCCACAATGCTTCCAAAAGAATATTAACTACACGAAGAATATTAACGAATAATACGAGTTTCTGGAGTGATGGAGACGTTACTTCACGTATCTTCCCAATAAAAATTATGAGGTAGAAGGCGATTCTGAAAAAAAGACATCTCAGTAGGGAAAATCGAATCTCCAGACTTGGATGAAATCCAAGAGGCTCTTTGTTGACACTTAAAAAATAATAAGGCACCAGGAGCAGATGGAATATCATCCGAACTCCTGAAGTATGGGAGGGGTGGGAGAACTTCGAAATTCATGATAAATCTGATAATGGATTTATGGCTCAACAAAAAGAAAACATTTTGGAATATGAGAACGGTCAAAGAATTTCTTTCCTATTTATCTTAATCAAGATTTTATCCGGAATTATTTTTTTAAGGCTTACCCCAATAGTTGAATAGCAAATAGGAGCCTATCAAGCTAGAATTAGAAAGATTAAAGCCACTCACAATCAAAACTGTTAAAAGTTTTTTTGTTTTTTTTTCCCTTATGCCAGTCGTTGGTCATTTGGCCATCCGACATCTTGCTGCCGAGTATATAGTTTAGACTTTCTAATATATATATTTGAAAATATTTTTTCTCTTATGTCCGTCAAGGCAGGACATGCGTCTAGATGGTCTGCATCCATTGTTCCTTGATGACACAATTTACAGCTAGGATCCTCAGCCACGCCTATCTTGTAGAGATGACTCTGCAGATAGTCGTCACCAGTGGCCAGGCGGAAGCAGGCAACTGCATCTCTTCTCGGCAGTTCAGCTGGAATCGGATTATCCTTAAACCACTCATAATGTTTCCCTTCCACTTTGCCGAAATGTGCTTTTCTTATTTCTTCCTTCACTACCATCTTTACCATTCGCTGTATTGAGTTGTAGGGTTTTGGATGTATCGACTGAGGCAAATCTGTTCCTCGCTTGGCAAGAATATCAGCCTCAACGTTTCCCGGAATCCCACAATGGCAGGGGATCCACTGTAGGACCAGTTAAAAGTCAATGGTTTTAATCATAAATAGAACTATTAAAGGCCTAAGACTGGACAACTGCTTGGAATATCTTCTCTTTAGGATGACTGGCCACCGAAAGTGCAGCGGAGCTGAGCTGAGTGTAGCTGAGTCAGCTTCCAAAACTAAACTAAAAGTTTTCAATGAGAGGACGGCCACCAGAAGCTGAGCGTAGCAAAGGTTCTGAGAGGTTCGGTTCTGAATGCTGAGTCTGATAAGCTTCGCTTCCCATACCACACCTACTCACCACTGTTACACAATGGTGGGGCTTTGTTCCTCAGTGTCATCCATTTTGTCCGCTCGTTTTCACTGCACAACTTCTCAAATTATTTTAATTTTGATTCAGTGTACAATATGGCATGGATGTGGAAGAATTCTTAATTGAATGTGTACGAGAAAATATTCTATTTTACACACAAATATTCAATTTTTCTTTTCAGCTCAGACATGATCATCTTTGCTATTTTTTTTTAAATATTATATTTATGCTACATATACTTTTTTAAAAATGTTATTCGCTTGTTTTCATTGTACAAGCTCTCAAATTATTTTATTTTGGCTCAGTATAAAATATGCTATGGGTGTGGAAGAATTCTTAATCCAATGTATAAGGGAAAATATTCAATTTCATACAGAAATAATCAATTTTTTTTTTCAGCTCCCACATGATCAACTTTGCTATTTTTTAAAAATGTTTATATGCTATATATACTTTTTTTAAATGTTACACGTGATATGAGAAAGGTACCGATACAAGACAAATTGCTGACCAAGCAAAGCTCAACTAAGGCAATCGGTTGCCTACTCCCTCTAGCTATACTCAGCTGCACTTTCGGTGGCTGGCCAGCCTTAACTAACCTGCTTTGGAATATTTGGTCAGGGATCAGACATTTATGCTGGGGAGTGAAGAATCTGCAGCCAGTCCTAAAATCTGACATATCTATGAACTATCTTCACACCTCAGGCAAAACTAAAGTTTATTAGATATTCTAAATATAATCAAATAGTTGTAAATTACTGATGTAATGAATTAAGCTAATGCCTCAAAATTAATATGGTGGAAGGGAACTATATTTTTAAAATAGGATAATAATTTCAATGAAGAGGGAAATATGCTATTAAAATATTTTAAAAAAAATTATGAAAATAGAAACATCTTGAGGCTACTCACCCCAGCGTAGTATGAAGGCATTGTTCTTAGGTAATTTTGAAATGCATTCCTCCATTCTGGTGTGTGCTTCTGCCGGTGGATCTTGAACAGCTCGTCAAGCAGTGGTAACAGCACCGGGTAATTGTATGGCATTACAAACAGATTAACACAGCTCAGGTTGGTACTCGCTTTTAAGTAGCCAAATGGGTGTCCAACTTCTGAGTTTTTATACGAGTTAGGAACAAATACCTGAAATTTGAAATTGAAAGAACTAGGTAAAGAGCAATGAAATTAGTGAATATTTATTTTAGTTGTTAATTAATTACTAAATCAAATATACATTAAATTTCAAATTTATAAGACTTTCTACAAAGAGGAAAAAATTCATTCTAATATTGAGATACCGATGACTAATACCACAAATAATAAAAAACAATGTATAAAACAATTAAGTAACAAACAACATACCTGCCAACAGACTGTAGGTTGTTTCCTTGCAAGTATATATTGTGTTAATGGACTAGGTTCCAACTCATATTTGTCGAATGGGAGGTTTTCTATAACCATAGGATCCTGACTATCACAGGTGAACTTCACATTAGGATGAGCTGACCTAGGAGGCTTGAATATTAAAAAAATACCAATCATAACTTGTTACTGTATAACAACAATTTATAATAATCAATTCTAAAGAAATTTATTTTAATCTCTACATTCTACTTTAAAAAAATCTGACTAAAATAACTTAAAACTAATAAGAACAATAGATGTTTACTTAAGGAGGAATAAAAAAAAAAAAATAAATTACAGGAAATCAATCAAGATTCTTCGACAATAATATTACAAGATAATAGCTACAAAAAATATAATTCACATTAAGCTAATGAATTCAAAATTAAAATTTACATTTTTGACTTACAAGAGTAGCGCCTTGAGCATCTGGCCAAAAAGATTCGGGTATTGGCCAAAATCCTACTGGGAATCCTTTCTGAGCAGACCTCGGGACATAAATCAGCTTCCTACAACTATGCCAAGCTGTACTTTGAGGTGAAGGCATAGCAGTACGAGTCTAAAACATAAAATAAACAATATAATAATGCTAACCTCAGTATTCAAATAAATGAACAAAATGTTAACTATAATTTTGTCATTGTTTCAATAAAAAATTAAAAAATCTCACAGCAGCCCCTCTAAAAGATCTTGTAAGTATTAGCAAATGCGTATGACTCCTAACCAGCTATCGTCCAAAACATAACAAATTTAAAAAAAAAAGGAATTTTTAATAATTCAGAAGATTTGAACCACGGTTGTAAACCCACATTCCACTAGCCATAAACTAATATTGTAACATAAAATATCAAAATAAATTAAATAATTGTTTACATTATAAGAACCAATAGGTCATGGGAATTAAGGAAACCGAATTCCATCATTTGTCTTAATGTAAAACACAGTCCTTTCAGGCATAACTCACATTCAATAAAAAACAAATCAAGTATAAATTTTAAGAACAGGTACTGAATAAAGGTGAATGACTCTAGTGTAGGTGTTTCAAGACAATCAGTAAAATTCATGCAGCCTACATCATTTTTAACAGAAAATTTCAATATTATAGATAGGATAATTAAAACTCATTATATAATCAATTGAATTTATGGCATGTAATTACCTAACACATTGTCCCATTTTAATTTTATTTTATTTCATAGCATTATGTACCACAAAAATTCAAACCCCTCTTTACCAACTACCTGTTTTATCCTCTGGCTAATTTCATAATTAAATCCAATGGAACTGGTAAATAAATTGAAATTTTAGATTCATTGTAGTAAGGTGATCTTATTGGTGTAGAGACGCATATATAAAAATAAACAAAAATGCAATAAAATAAATAGAACATACCCCATTGGGAATTTTGTTTTGGCCATCTTTGTCCCATTCTTTAATCTCTTCTCCGTTTTCATTATTTTCTTCTGTAACATAAAAATATAAGGATCGTGTTTAATATTTAAAATTTCAGGAATCATATTTCATAAAGTATCTAGAATATTAGAAGAAAATAAAACTTAATGGCTAATGATTTATACAAAATTTTTGGTTTAAAAATTTAATAATTTTTTTCAATACAAAATTGATTGTGCTAATAGAAAATATATATATATATATGAAGATAGATCATTACCATAGTATAATCATACCATAGTATTACAATAATTTTATTTTTAATAAAATATACATTAAAAATCAATATAAATATAGCCAAAACTCTTGAATTGAAGAAACTTTTAATAATGAATTAAATCTTTTATTTTTACTTACTATCATTGTTGCTAATCAGTGGAGGGTCAGGACCAATCTTTTCGAAATTGATAACAACACCACTCTGTACCTTTTGAACCAGGCTATCAATGCATTGCATTAGCATCCGATGTGATGTTACAGAATACGAGCGACCTGAAATAAATGTTTAAATTACAACAATATTATAGAAAGAAACTAAAATAAACTGGTGATCAAAAACACTTGCACACCTTGAATTTCACTTAAAAACTGCATATAAACAAAATATTTTTTAACCTAATAATGTGTATATGACTAATCAAGAGGATTAACATGCATTAATCCTTTTTAGAAAATTTCATAATTCTCACTAGGTTTAATGATAAAAGTATTAAGATAAAGGTGGACATATCAGTTTGTCCCCAGTTAGCTATTCAAACGCATTGATTTTCTTTTCTTGGAAAAAAAAAAAATTACTTATTACCTAAACATAAAAATATTACCTAACATTCTTAAGAGTTGAAAATGTTTTTAAATGCCATGATAGTCGCTAGGATAATGGCGTTAATTGAGGACAACCGAAGCCAGCGATGTGTGGCCAGAGTGTTAGGGCTGCCTAAAACAACAGTTCATCGAGCAGTGTAGAAGATCAGGCCAGGTCGGCCTATAGTAGTTTGGGATCAGGGCGTCGAAGAGTGAAAGATCCAGCTGATGCCAGCTTCATTGTGATGGAGACACTCAGAAACATTTCAGACTTCTCACTGACTGCGTATTGCTTGGAGTGCAGATGTTGGCAGGCAAACAGAACAGAGAAATCTTGCTGAACTCAACCTACATACTAGGGTTTCCGATTCTGGCTCTCAACTCACCCCAGGACACCGAACAGCTTGCCTACATTTTTGTTGTGAACATGGCGCCTGGACTGAAGATGATTGGGCCTCTGTTATTTTTTCAGACGAATCTTGAGAAGACCTATTGAGCGATATGCTTTATGCAATATAATGGGAAGAGTGCGGTTCAGAGGAGGCTCGGTGATGGTTTAGGGTGGAATATGTATAGAGGCAAATACAGAACTCCATGTGTTCCGAAGGCTGAAAATCAATACCCATATGTTCAATACTGTCATCCTCGAAGAATACGTGGTGTATTTTGGCTGGTTTATCAGCCCCCGTTTCCTTTTTATGCACAACAAATATTGTACGAGACTACCTAGACAAGGCTGGTGTATGCACCTTGGACTGGCCAGCACGTAGTCAAGACCTTAATCCTATTGAGCATCTTTGAGACTAGGTTGGGACATCTATCTGTCGACAACAGAATTCCCCAAGAGCTCAGGATTGCCTTGGTACGAGAATGGAATAAAATTTCTCAAGATTGGATAGCATGCCAATTTTAAGAACTACTGGGCCAATTTGAAAAATCATTCTTGCCATTGAGAAACAGTATATTGAGGAAAATTTCAGCTTTTATGAGGGCATGCTGCTAACTTGAGAATGGAGCAATAACCATAAGCATCAATCAATCTGGAAAAATATAGGTTAAAATATTATTACAGCTTCCAAAAATATCATTTACAGTAATAAATAAAGTGCCAATTTAACATACTGCAGTCAATTTGAAATAAAAAAAACAACAACATACATTGTTCTTAAGAAACTTTATTACTTTAAGTCAACTAACTGAGAACGCTTTCTGACATAATTTTATTTATTTTTCATCATTAATCCTTTTGTGTTTTCATTCGAATTTTAGATGTTATTCAGAACACTCACTTTGCCTTAATCTCATCACCATTTGTATGATTCAAGTATGTATTATAGAAATTTAACAGGGATAAAAAAATCAAAATAGAAATAAAATAATAAAAAATTGAGAACAATTATTATACCATTTTCTAGTTATGAGAATAAAAGAAACAATATAGAAATGAAGTCAATCTTACTCTTTTTTCACAAAATGAAAATCTATAAGTCATAAAAATTATAATTTTTTTAATTTAATAAATTAAATTAAATTTAATAATAAATTTGTTATTCATTACTGACCAAACACACTTATTATTTTCAACAGCTTATAAGTTGTTGAATGTCATGGCTAATTTAAAATATTAAAACACTAAAAATAAATTTCAAATATAAATTAGTTTTTTTTTTTCAAGTACAACTTTTTTTTTTAAATGCGTGGTTTCAAAAACTTCTGCCGATCGGTTAACAATAGGGCCTCGAGCAATCTAACATGTACCACATAATATAAAGTAAAAACAAGCACACATTTCAAACTTTTAAAAATTAAAATGAATACATTGCATAGATTCATGGGATTCCTTCTCTGCCATCTTTCTTCTACTGAAGCCGTATTTCATTACCAGATCTTTCGGTAAAAAAACTTGTTGTATTGCAATGTAACATATAAAATCTCTCATTAATTAATTAATATATTAGCTGATCAGGAATCCTACACAATCACCGTCTATCTTCAAGCTCAAAAGTTTGCCCAAGGGTGCTGACCAAACACACTTATTGACCACATTAAACAGCTCACTCATGATGAAAAATAAAGAAAAACATGAGGCCATGCTGGCAGAGTCTTGAGATACTATTTTGCTAGTACTGCGTATGGCAGCGATCGCTATTTCATGCTGCCAACCGTTTCATATCAATTTAGCGTCCAAGCTTGATATAATTTTAAATAAAAATGTTAGCCTTAAATGTAATGGTTTCATTCGTATCGGAAGGATAGCAATAGATTTGACGGCGGAGTTTCATCTTATTTAATTACTACATGCCATTTTTTCTGGTAGTTAAGGTTGAATAACAAGGTCAGGTTATGTCTGTACTATGAAATGTTAACAATTATCCATATATTAATTCCTAAATTCTACAAAATGATTGCTTCTCGTAATATTTTGAATTTAAAATACAAGTATTCATGGTATTGATAAGATAATAAAGCATTATTTTAAAAACTGAGGATTTAACTCCGATTTTAAATTTATTACTAATTATTAGTTTGATAAGTAACATAAAATTATTACATAATTGATAAGTAATATCATATATTTGTAATGAAATTCCAGCAGGAAATATTTTAGTGTTCTATCAAAAGGTAATCAGTAAATCAGCACTTTAATTAAAAAATACAAATTGATTTCTTAATGTCTAGATTTGAATATTTACCTGAAGTTAAAATTGTTTGGATTATTTAATGCCATTTAGATCTAGGTATATTTGAATTTCTCTGTAAAATACTTTTGGTGAAATGAATAAACAAATAATCTTGTTACTTCAACCTTTAAAAAATAATTTATTATAGCTTTGTTTAAATTTTAAACAATATTTCATTTAATGTGACATTAGTAGTTCAGCTTCTATTTGAAATTCTGTAATGTCTGACTTCAACATATTTATCCTATAAAAACTACATTTACTTCAGTTATTACAAATAAATTAACTATGAATTTTAGAGGGAAAAGTGTTAGTTTATGGAGGAAACATAAGATTAAAGCTCTAAACAATATGTCTTTAACATCAAAACACATAGCTAGTTTCAAGTTTCTAATATTGATATCCTTAGAGAATGGTTCTCATTGTTTTCAGCTTTTTAATTTATACCAGTTGAAAGAATGGATTCTATTGTTTTGGTTACATTTTTACTTTCTGTTTTGGGAATAATTATAAAATGCATGTCCTTTTTTCAGATACCTTTTAAGTAATAGTAAATTAATAAAAATAATAGAAACAGAATAGAATAGATATGAAAATTAATACACATAAAAAATATAATAAAACAATGCTCATAAATACTTTTATAATTAATTCTCTTTAATTAAGGGATGTTCATTTTCATGAATGCATAATTAAGATTTACAAAACAAATAATATTTTTATTACAAAATTATAATGTGCAACCGTGTAGAGGCTTCCAGACATTGCAGCACCCAATGCATAGCATGCATAAGTCAGAATAAATTTGATCATATCCTGGGGGATTGGACTTATAACTTATTTTAGTTATTGAGCTTATGGCTATGACTAAAATTTCTAACTCATTAAATATTTTTAAGCGGATACAGGTTCTATTGCAATGAACTATGCATCCAAATAACTGCAGTGTTACAAAGTAGAAACCATAACCACTGCACAAATTTCTGCAATTACCACCCTGGCATTCGATATTTCTTTGTCTTCCAATATAATTTTTATAGAGGATATTAATGAAATTGTACACAAGGAACAATAAACAACAGTTGTCAAAGTAAATGATGTGGATGGAATAGAAATAAGAAATGAAAAACCTCAATAAAAACAATAAACCCTAGCTAAAAAATATTTATTAATACATTTTTAAAACGCTATGAAGTTTGTTTTAAATTACTAACCTCCTGTAACTTCACACATTGCATCAATTGGTGACGTATCAGATGGCACAAGTCCAACATCACGTTCAACAGCAGGTGTCCCAGAAAGCCTTAAAACCAATGAGAACAGTCTTTGGTCCCAGCGAAAAGGTTCCCTTGTCAATTCACATCCAGGTATTGGAGAGTGCATAGGCAGATTAAACTGTAAAAAAAAAAAATAATGATATTATCAATTATTTATATTTGATTAACAATTTAAATAAGTTTAACAACAGTTTCACAAAAGTGAATCTTATTTTTTAAACATATCATATGAAAATTTCATTGTTTAAGTCACCACAAAGAAAGATGAAGGCTGTATAATGATTAAAAGGCCTCACTTTCAAATATAAAATTGAGGACGTTATCCTTTAAAATGATAAAATAAGTGTCTTTTGCCACAAAAAGCAAGTTACTAACTTCTTCAAAAAGCATGTAGGCTCAATAGTCTGGTCAAAGGCGTAGTTTCTATACACACACCCACACACACATCATTGTTTCATAAACATAACAAAATAGTACTTCCGTAAATTAAAAAAATTTATTGATATATCGGTTCTCAATAGAGTAGGGATGTTAATATCGAAATGTGAAGTATTGATAGTTATCAAATACATTAAAATTTCAATATTTCAACCTTGATGATTTAATCTTTGAAAGAAGGTGAACAGGATTAACATTGAATTGAAATTTAGAATAGCAATAATTAAATAAAATATTAATACATTGCTTATCACAAAAAATAAATAAAAGGGATGGAAAAAAACAAATATTGAATGATTTATAAAGAGATGGCTATAAAAATATTAATTAATCAAAAAAAAAAAATAGAAGATAATCAAAATTGAATTAATAATTATTAAAACCTATAAAAAAATTAATTTTCATTATAAACTGACAAATAAAGAAATTAATAATTATAATTAATTAATAATAAATAATTATTACAATATTAAAATCAATATTTTTTAAATAATCTCATTATTATGTGGCTTTCTTTTAATGGTAATTTTTCTTTTATATATTTTAAACTTTATTCTTATTATTGGTTTACTTTTTTTTTTTTTTTTAAATATATCAATATTTTTTCAACATCCCTTGACAACTAACAAAATATCACTTTAGAAATCTATGATAGCAACATTTTTGGAATCTAAAAGGAGAAATGAATCCTAGTTTGAGAATTTTGTTGAAAGATTCCGAATTCGAAAAAAAAATCGGTCCAGTAGTCTCAGAGAAAAGGCGTTGTTGTTGTTGGACAGCAGCAGACACAATTTTTTTAATTTGATTTTCGAATTCTACGTATCGTGAAATGTAAAACCTCAAAATTTTGAGAGGGAGCTTAAATTTTTGGACGATCACGATGGTTTATTATTGAAAATATAAAAAAAATAAATTCAAATCTTTGCTACTATAACCTATGAAGAGTTTTAGATTTAATATTTAGAACTGAAGCACTGTTTGCACGGTGACTAACAGACAGTTAAAGTAAAATTCCCTGATATTTTCCTATCTGATAGTTTTCCCCAACCAATATATCTGGGGATACAAATATTAAAAATGTTTAATTTATAACTAAATTTATTTATTATATATAAAAGAAAATTGATGAAAAAATGACTTGTGTAAAATTTAAAAAAGTCAGTCTTTTAAATAACAAATATAATGTTGAACAAAGATGAAGATCAAAATTCATACTTGACATATAAAGCTCCGATTTCCTCTTTTATAAAATACAGTGAGCTACAGGAGATTTCAATATTAATGTAGTTTCTCATAAGAAATTTAGTTTCTTTATTATTATAAACAGCATAATAATTATCCATATGACACCAACTGTGACATTTCTGATTAAGAAATGCTCTTTTAAGGAGCACAGGACAAACGAATCAGTGCTTGCCAGATGTATATATTATATATAGTAAATAGTATTGGTATGTTTTCCTTTTCAAAAAGGCACCGTTTTATTTTATTTTGCTTGAATTGTATTCATTACCCTTGTTAATTTCAATATAATGACCAGTGCAGTGCCGTTATCTACAGTCAAATGTGGGTGAATATAGGGACTGTGATTATTTATAACGACGAAGTTTACCCCTTCAAGGTCATTATAAACAATATTCACTGTATATTTATTTCCAATTTGGAAAAAAAATTTATGTACTATAAAACAACCCTGACTTTTTCCTGTTTATAAAATTCTCTAACTTTTCTCATTTTTCCAGATCGGTCTCCACCCTGGTTTCTTAACCAATGATTATACAAGCAGCAACCATGCTGAGCCTCCAGATTTATATTCCCAAAAGCCTTGAAGGACCAATGGCTTACGGATAGGTGTGCCTTAGGAGAGTCTACTGTCCTTGAGTCGATCAATAGCTGATATAACAAAATAAATAAAATATCCACCACAGCTAGATTCAAACCCGAGGTTCTTTCAAAAGCCGTGTCAACACATGTATAGATTTATTAGGCTGAAAACTCGATCCATCAAACGACTGGAATCCTCACTCACTTAACTGTTATACTGCTTTCTGCCAGTAAGCGAAATCGATATAATAGAGATGGAAAAGTAGTCAACTGTTGAATTATAAGGATGAAAACAAATTGTTAAGAACTTTAGTCGAAAGCTGAAAGAATTTCAGTCAAACTAACTTATTAAAGAAATTTTGACTGAAATTCGTGACAATTTTGAAATCAATTTAACGTTAAGATATTTACAGATCTTAAAGATCAAGCTTGCAGTTATGGCAATTTGAACAAGAATAATGATTACTGAGTTTTAGAGAGCAAGCTCATCTTTTTCTGGTCAAATTTATTGTCGGAACCTTGTTAAAGTAACGACTACGAAAAGTCACATTTTTAAATTTTTTCATGTAAAATAATACGCTGCCTTGTGATAAACTGTAGAATCTGAAAGGCAACATAGCAGACTAGAATCAGTAAGGTAATTTTTATGAATTTACAGCTTCGTTAGAAATGTACATTTGTATGAATGAATAATCAAAATTGAAAGTTTATATTGGGCAAATGCACATTCATTACTTTATATGGTACCGACGATATAACAACCACTTTAGACTCACCTGTTTTTAATATCTGATTTTTTAAGTTTTGAATAGTCATATTAGCCCAATAATTTAAACTGTCTAGGAAAAAAAAATTGAAGGACAGAAGGAAAGATGAAAATTTCTATTTAGAAAATTTTAAAAAAGCATTGCCTGGCAACCTGGATAGAAGATAATGAGATAAAAATAACAATGAGTTCGTGTCCCAGTGCCAAGGGGGCTTTTAGCTCTGGCACTCATCTCCTGCTCTCACCTCCTTGCCCGGGAAACAGTATAGCCTAAAAGGTGAGGAAGGGGAGGATAAAAAAATAAAATAAAATAAGATAGTATTATAAGAAACCAGTTTTGCAGTTCCTGATTCACTTTTTTATTTCAACAATAAACGAGGAAATCATTACTCTGTACACCAAGTGTACTGGGTATATTTATTGGTCTAGAAGATCATAATAAAGGGCTAACAGCATTATAAATAGATAAAAATTAGTCCACTGGGAAAAATAAAATTTCAGACAAGAGGAACACAACTGGTCATATTTATTACAACTTGAAATTGAAGAGCTGAGTGTAAACATATGAAAAATAATAATTATAAATATAAAAATACAAAATATTTTCAATATTCCTTTCCACCAGACATTTTTTCTAAACCTCTGTAGTAGTATTGGGAAATCCAAAATTGAGTGATACGATAAAATAATAAGAATAAGATATCTGTTCTGTCCACTCACTCAAATTCGCTAAAAAGTTTGAATGTAAAGTCAGAAATCAACTTTGCAGAAAATTTAATCATATTTCAAAAAAACACCTGCAAGGTTCTGGGAGATGTTCAGTTCTCGAGAAATAAAAAAAAATAATAATAAAGCAAAATGAACATACTTACATGAGAACAGGACAAAAATACTTTATTATATTTTTAAAAACATCTTTACAAAGCTCACTATGTATCTTTGTTAATTCTGGTCTCATTTGAACATTTTAAAAATTATTTTTAAAGAATTTAATATCTTTCTAATATTAGGCCAATTTTTTTTTTTTTTAACTTCAGGAGGGCATAGAATGTAAAAATCTATTGAAAAATGCATTTCAAAATAATGATCAGATTACAATACTTTCCTTACCCAGTAGTTTTTTTTTTTAAATAATACAATTTTCTTTAAAATAAAATAAAATAATAAAATAAAAGTATTCAATTTTTGCTCCAGATTCAAATTATTATAATTTGATACATGTATTTATTATATGTATATAATAATTGTAGATCAGACATAAATATAATTATTAGCATAAATTGACATTGTAAACATTCATGCAAGCTATCAATAATAAAAAATATATGAATAATCATACCAGAATGATAAAATAAAAAAGAAACTGGAGAAATATCTTTACAAATAAAACTAGAAGAATCCTATAAGGAGTAAGCTAAGTTAGTTATCTACTTGCTGCAAGAAGCAGTTCCATAAGTAGGGGCATAATAATAATCAGGCTGGTATCTTATATACAGAAAATGGACTGTTTAATAGATAAAGAATAGAGAGAATTTTTTTTTGATATTTCATGATAGGAAAAGAATAGCACTAATAAAGATTACAACCACGAGGCATTGATGAAACTAGTTAAATTCAAAAGTAAAACATAAAAAATGAGAGTGGGGACCCACAAGATGAATCATGTGAAAGTATTATTAATCTATTTTTTTTTTTTAATCAGAGACTATAAGTTAAAGAATTGTGTACAATTCAACTCAATTAGATTTAAATAAATATTTGAGTACAGGCTGGAAAAAATAATCAATAAAATAAGAAAAAAAAACTCAATGTAGGAGGATATCTTATCTAAACTAATACAACAGCAAAATTATACCTAAAAATGTTTTTAAAAGACAACTAAATACAATAAAAAATTGACAGAGATAAATAACTAATATTAATTAATTTAATATCCTATAATGATAAATAATTCTTTGCTAAAGTATTGCACTCAATTAAGAAAATCATAAACAAAAATTTCCTAACTGTTCTTTAAAAAAAAAAATGATTTGATAACAAACAAAATAGAATTCAAAACAGGAGATTAACTAAAACATTTCTTCCCCCCCCCCATATAAAAAAACCAGAGGTAAAAACAAACATACTAAATTATGAATATCTGCATTTAATCTCATTAAAAATTAAAAAAATCTAATCAACCATTTCTATTAACAATACATAATTATGAAACAATGTAGCATATCAATGTAAATTAAACTAATGAACTAAAAGAGAAAAATAACTTTTAATACTAGGAGAACAACACTAAAACATTAATAATTGATGGAAGTTTGGCTGATTACATTTGTCACAATAAACAAAATTAGAATTGTTAGAATCTTACAGAACTTAACTAAATAATTCATAGTTTATATCATTTTTTTAATGTATATGTAAGTATATGTGTATTTACATTTTTTCCTTTAATGTATTTAAGTAAACAAAACAATTATTACCTCTTCCTGCACTCCAGTTGAATTAGACAATTTCCCTCCATCTGTTATTACTACAATTACTGATGGTTCCAGAAAGAACGGGCATCTCCCTTGTCCATATGTATCAATTCCCGTCTGCATTCTATTGATATTAAGAACATCAAAGGCATGCTTTAAAGCGGCCCCCATCATCGTCATTCCTTGGCATTGTAGATTCTTGAGTTCATTCATAAATGTCCCGAGATTTTCCTTCCACCCAGCCTAAAGGAAAATTAATAAATATAGAAATGGCAAAGCTGGATACAATATACTACTTATGACGGTTTAACCTGAACTCACCTTGATATTATGAGGCGGATCTTCGAATGTTAATAGCATATACCTATCACCTCTGCTTTCTGGAGATCTTTGCCTCACCTAAATGTTTAAAAACATAAATAAGTACAAGCTGATAAGGGTACCAATCAAAATAAATAATAGGGTTAGGAGCCTATGAAGCATCAGGTGAGTATAATAATTTACATAACCCTTAACTGCAGTAAATATTAAAAATCGGCCGAAGATTTTTAAATCAGTCCTACCTTGACGAACGTTTCAACTGCGCCCTTGGCCACATCCAGCAGCGTTGGGCGTCCACCTAAATATGCTCTTTGATTCATAGAAGCCGACGTATCAATTAAAAATACTATAATCGTCATTATTAAGTACATATACAACCCCTAAACTTAAAACGAATTATTAAACAGAATTAAGCATGTAATCATGTAGTTTCCAAAAGGAAGGCGACCATTATTACTATGCAACCATCACATAGTTGCACACGAAGGTACCCTTACGGGTAACAATTGACGAATGATCAGGAAAGTTTAGCCAGCCCCAAATGAGCATGTCTCTCAGTCACTCCAACATAACAAAAATATATTTTTTTAAGTTTTCATCTAATGAAACGTTTTTCAATTAGCAAAATAAATTAAATAGTAACTATTTAAAAATTAATAATGCCTTAAAACAAATCCTTTCCACAATTTTTATTCAAAATATTAGAAGTATAATATAGCATAGGCATTGATACAACAAAAATAAAACCTTATTGCAACCTTCTTGGAGGTTCGGGTTTCAAATTTCAAATAAAATCTCTTATCAAATAATTAGTGTATTCATTTATAAATTATTTGGTATGTTCTGTCTTTATCAATGATTTTGTTTTTGTATTTTATTTTATTTTTAATAATATGATTTGTTTTAGATGAAAATGTAGTTTTATTTTGTTGTGTTTATTTTAATGTGAAAAATGTCTCTTCTTATCAACTTTTAAAATTATGAGAACTTGTGATAAAGTGCATAAATTACAGCTTTTAGATGATCAAGATTAAAGTTTATTAAGTTTAGTGGAAGCGTATATTGATTCAGAAGATAATTTTCTTTTTATTGCTATTGTATGTAAACTAATGTTAATTAGGGCTTTTATGTGAACATTAAAACAATAATTAAGGTGACAATTTAATGTTATATCAGAACTTAATGGAATTGATTTAATTTGACCCTAAAATATTTTTTACTTAAGAAAGCAGAAGACATTTTATCATCTTATAACACTTATCATCGTATCATGAAGTTTACTCTTAAGCTGTAAATTATGTTGGTACTAGTTCACAAGAGTTCTGCACGGATTAGGAATGGCTTACAATCACTTCAGTGACACTGGTTCATGGAATGCTAAATGCATTCGTGTTTATCCGAAAGAGTACAAAGTCACCTTAGTATTCGATCTCACTAGTTGTGTGTCATTTAAGAGAGATTCCTCTCTTGTATGACACAATTATTGATTACATTTATAGCCTAGTGGCAGTTTGAGCCCATAAAATTTAGAAATATATCTAGGTGTTTAGGTTTTTGTGGTTTAATTATTTATATATTAAAAGTGAAAATATGTCTTTTTTTTTTTCTTTTTTTTTATCACAGTGAATTGTTTTGATTGATATCGAAGTAGGTTTTGATCCTCTACAAATTTAGAAACTTACGTGGAGATTGTTACTTTTGGAAAGCCAATGTCTGTATTTAATGTATTTTTAACAGCAGTATCTATGGTTCCGCATAGATGAGGTTCCTCAAACCTCATCTATTTCTCCAACCATTATATCAATTTTATTGATCGATAAAATGTGAGATATTGTTGCTTTGAGATTCTGAGGTTATAAATTCCTCGTACATGCTACAATTTCGGACTTGATCCAATTTAGCATGAGTATTTTATGGTTGTTTAGGTTCTAAAGCTAACTGCAGTCTTAGAAAATATCTAATACCTTAGATCACTAAGACCCGTAAAATCACAGGCGGATCTTATGGGAAGGAGAGGTTTTTGGGCTGAAGTTTCCTCTCCCCTTCTCCTTCCCAAATGGTAAAATATAACCACGTTTTATGAAAAAAAATATTAAAAAATTATCTCTCAAAATATTATTCGCCATGTAATTATATTTAATATGACTTAAAGAATCACTTAAATACCATTTCATAGAGGTAGTTAGTTTCTTTCTTTTTTATTTCCAATGTAATTATCGTAATATATATATATATATGAAAAAAAAAAGCTTTCGGACTGAAGCCCTCCAAAATTAAATCCTGGATCCGTTAGTGCTTAAAATATACACCATTAACAAGTATTAATCCAGCGCAAGGAGTTTCTCTTATACTTTTGAACTTGATCAATTTTTGCTCTGAAGTTAATTATTAATGAATTTTAATTTAGTTTTACACATAAAGTATTATTTTTCAAATTCATTATTTATTAACATGTTAAGAACTCACATTCACATCCCTATTGTGTTTCATAGCTAGTATTAATAAGCATTAGACTTTTCCATGCAATGCATGCTTTAAACACATCGGCAATCTTTTAAATATGTACTGTGATATAATCCTCTTGTTAATATCCAAAATATTGGTCATTATTCTGTTTTCTCCAAATTCATTATTTGAAAGAGTATATATATATATATACCCATATGTATATATAATTTGATCATTTTTATTAGAAAGATGTTTTTTCAGTATATATGACTTGTAATTTGTATATATTTTAATAACTTATTAATAATTAACATTTACTTATTTTTTTTTAACCGCACCTATCCTGTCGGGTTATTAGTTGACCATATTCACAAAATTATATCAAATTTCACATATTAATGACACTTAAAAACTAGAAAGTCCTAGTTGCTTTTTTTTTTTTTTCGTCTCCTAATGCTTCTGGTGGCAGGTTTATTATGTATTGTTCTGGTGTCAGTGTATAATCTGCAGGATGTTACAACATGCTTTAGTGTTAGCGTTGTATTGTATGTATCACAGAAGGTTATTTTCAGGCCTCTCGTCATGTATCAATCCATAAAAGCTGTATGACCAATTCTTAATCTTGTCAATAGATTTTTTCTTTTCTACTATTTCTTGATGAGGTATTCCAAGATTTGGTGTTCTTTTTTTTATTTCTTGTAATTTGTTAAATGATGACATCCATTTTGTTTGCCACTTCATTATTGTTTAGAATACCACTTCCAATCTGTGACTTTTGTAAAGTCCACCATCGAAGTCCAAGGCTATTTCATTCTTGTCATGTTAGATTCTTTGTCTGTGCCTTCATTGCCTGCAATAAAATCATATTTAATTGAATGTTTAACAGAACGACTTTTTGACTTGATTAGGTGTTGATGACTTACGGATTTTACGCCCTTAAACAACAAAACACAAACTTTTTGACTTGATAAAACTGACTGTCTAATTAACTGATTGAATTAACTAACAGAATGAAAAAATAAACATTTTTGTTTTTAGAAGATCTTTTGGTCCCTTAATATAAATAATTCAGCTTTTATTACTATTTCTAAAGTTGTAATTGTAAAATCAGACATTTTTTTCAGATAATGACTAATCCTTTCAAAAAGTTAAAAACTGAGGGCTCAGGAGACACAGGCTTTGAGGAATTTCTGAAAGGAATAGAAAATGACAGGATTCAGGTAGTAATTTGTCCTTCAGATGAATATTATATATCTTCGATTTTATTTTAAAACTCTAATATATATTTTTTTTTCTAAATAAAACACTCTTCCTTATGTTTTTATTTTCATTACTGTTAGTAAATTTTGTATTGTATTTAAGGCCGGAAAGACTGTGCAGCAGTTTGGTTACAATAAAAACAGAATCAGATTCTTTTCTAAGTGCAAAGAAATCCCTTCTTGGTCTAAAGGGGTACTCTACTGGATGACAAGGGAAGAAAGGATTCAAGGTTGAAATGTTCCTCTATTGTGGAAGTTATTTATTTATTTTTTATTATTTGCCTAGCAGGAACTAAGTCAAGGGTTATGCTCTAATTTAACATTATTGTTTTGTTTTTTTATGGATGCTTAAAATGAAGACAAAATTAACTATAATTGTAAAAATATCAACGTATTTTTCAGACAATTGGTCTTTGCTTTATGCACAAAAAGTCGCCCTGAAGCATAAGCTACCTTTACATATTTGCTTCTATTTGCGGAGGACATTTATGAATGCACCAATTCGCCATTTTAAATTCCTTCTTAAAGGTATTTTTTTTTTTTATAACTATGATGATTATTATTATTGTAATTTGTTTTAGTATAAATTGTGCCTATATGTAAATAATGCTTATATTTGTGTAATATACATATGTATTTATTTATATCATACAGATTTAATAACTTAAATATATTCTGGTTATATTAGTTTAAGTAGTATCGACTTTCGTTATTTGTTTATGGATTATATCTGTAGTACTTTTGCATATAATTGGAGTGTTTTATAGTTTTTCTAAATTATTACTTTTATTCTTAAAATATATGTTTCATTGCAGATAGTTTTTACATTCAGTGTCATTTGCTCATTCAGGTCATTCAATTTAAATAGGAGGTATAAATGAGGGAAATAAAATTTTTATGTTCAAAACCTTTTAATATAATTCATCATTGTACCCCTATATTCTCTTTTATTTTGATTGTAATTTTTTTTTTTTTTTTTTTTTTTTATCAGGATTGGAAGAAACAGCAAAAGAAAGTAGGAAATTGAACATTCCATTCCATATGTTTATATCTGATGAAGGAGAAAACCAAATTATTGATTTTATGGTAGAAAATAAATTTGGATATGTTGTAATCGATTTTAGTCCACTAAGAATTGCCAGAACTTGGGCTGAAAATCTTAAAAAGACATTGCCTGATGATGTTCCTCTAGTACAGGTTGCAATTATTATTATTTTTGTTATAGTACAAATTTATCAAACATTTTATTTAATTTATTTGTAATATTGATGAAGGTTGACGGCCATAATATTGTCCCGTGCTGGGTAGCATCAGATAAGCTGGAGTATGGAGCTAGGACTATAAGGAACAAATTGAAAAATAAATTCGCTGAATTTTTGACACCATTTCCTCCTGTTACGGAACACCCATATTCTGGAGAACAGAAAGCAAAGGTTAATTGAGCTCATACATAGTATCTCTGTATTCAAGAATCTTGAAATTATATATATTTCTTAAATATGTTTAAATTTTGATGTGAGGTATTTTATCCATCAATTAATTGCTTGTTTGTTCTTTGGTGCAAACTGAGGATTTAAAGGGAGAGGAAATATCATTCTCTTTGATAGATAAAGTATATTATACTTGAGTACATCATTTATCCCACAAGGAGGGAATTAACGCTCTAATTAAGTGGTTTAAGAATGAATTCTATTAGATTGCCATTTATTATTTACCAAATAAACTTATTAAAAATGAGATGCACTCAAATATTATTTCATCTCATTTGTTGTTTTCTTCAAAGGAAATAGATTGGGCTGCTGCTGAAGCTTCATTGGAAGTTGACAGGACCATAGATGAAGTCAGCTGGGCGAAACCAGGTTATTTAAATGGAATGAAGATGCTTCACGAATTTTGCCAAAAGCGTCTTAGCAAGTTTGCCCAGAAAAGAAATGATCCCTTAGGAAATGCATTGAGCAATCTTTCACCATGGTTCCATTTTGGTTAGTTATCTTTCTTCATTTTATTTCCAGACCTTATTATATAGTAAACTGTTATTTTTTATGGTAAAACTTATATATTTACACTTTGTTTCTCATTATTATATATAATATTTTGAAAGATATTGATTATAATTAGGATAGAATCTGAACAGTTACAGAATGTTACTCATTAACAAGGCTTATAAGCCAGGAACATTCTCTCATAAATAGAATTTAAATTAAACCAAATGTTTAAGACTGGCTTAATAGCTCTAGAATGTATTGGAAAGACTGGAAATGTTAATAATACAATGGTCAACTATTAAGTATTCGTTAAAAATTAATTATTTTTTTTAAGAAAATGAAATTATATTTTGTACTTTTGAAAATGATCTCCAATTGAAAAAAAAATTAATTAAGATGAATATAATTATAGAAATACTCTTATGTATTTCAGTTTATTGTTGCTTTTTTTTTAAGCCAAACCACCAATTGTACGTTTCAAAATTCCACACTCCACCTTCTTCATGATCATCTTTATCAAACAAACTAACTTGGAGGGAGTTTCCAATTCTAATAGATTTTGGTATATCTTTTCTTTTACAATACTATCATAGGTTTTCTGAAAATCAATAAAAAGGTGGTGCGTGGTAATATTGTACTCTCTGCCTTTTTCTAGGATTGCTCTTATTGAGAATACTTTATCTACAGTCCCTCAACCGCTCATGAACCTTGCCTGGTACAATCCAATTTCTCATTCTGTGGTTGGGCAGAGTCTTTGATATGGCACCCTTGAGAATACTTTGTAGCCATTGGAGAATAGAGATATTCCTCGGTAATTCATGCATTCCTGTATGTATCCTTTCTTATGTATGGGTCATATGACTGTCATACACCAATTATCTGGCATTTGTTTACTTTGCCATATGTCCATGATAAGATCATACAAAAATCTTTCCATTTTTCTTCTCTATATTTCAATTTTATTTCAGTATTTTAGTTTTCCATGAATACCGTCTGTTTCTGGCACTTTATTATTTTTAAGGTAGCTTATTCCTTCTTGAACCTCCTCATAATTTGGTGGCTCAAGGTCTCCCTCCAGGATATCTTGCACGGAAGCAAACAATGATGCTTCCCTGTTTTCAAGAAGTCGTGATGGCCGAGTGTGTTGGAGAGTTGCCCGTTTTAGCATCCTCGTACCTAGCTACGCCGGTTCAAATCCGGCCTGGGAGTGGTTGGCTTTTATTTTGTGGCGGCCCCCGGAATGAAACTCGACCCTCCCACTCTGATTAAATAGGTTTGGTTGTACCTCTAGAACAACTAGAAGTTAATTATGTACTACTACTAATATTTACTGTTTTATTAGGTCAAATATCAGTGCAACGCTGTATCCTTGTTGTAGAATCTTTCAAATCAAAATACAAAGAAAGTGTTGAATCTTTCTGTGAAGAAGCGATAATCAGAAGAGAATTATCTGACAATTTTTGTTATTATAATCCCAATTATGATAATATAAAAGGAGCTTATGATTGGGCTAGAAAGACATTAGAGGAACACAAGTAATAAATAAAAAAATATATTTTATGATATTTAGGTTTATGTTAACATTAGAATAGAAAACTTTTAGGTGCAATATTTTTAGAGTAGTTAGAAATCATAACTTAATGTCCTGAAAATGTCTATAGCTTGCTCAAAAAATTAAAACCAAGGTTGAATTATTTTCTTGTTTTCTTATTTTAATTGTAATTATAAACATGTATTACAACAGTGATCTCCAACCCAGCCTGCAAGTAAAATTTTGTCTGGTTATCCTTACTTGTTGCAGTGATCACCATGCCAACCGATAACTGCATTCCACAATGTTGCTTTTTAAAGGTTTTTTTAAATCTAATATCTGATACATAATTAATTGGAACTATAATTGTGTTTCTATGAAAATAGGTTTAATTGATATCTTGGCCTTTTAACCTCTTAGCGATGATGAACGGGAAGGATGGAGCATCCTTGAGGATGAAATACTTTTCATCACCTCTACTGACCAAGTACGCTTTTTAAATTAAGGCATTGTTCAACAATGCCCATAATCTCAAGTCATATATTAAATTACCTACTGCTCCATGGGTAGGCCGTGAGATAACTTGAAAGTTGAATTGATCACTAAGCCCTCCATCGTTTAATGAGAAAGAGCCCGACAGGCTTTCGACTCCTATACATGTCCACCGTCACCTGGACTCTATATCGTCTTGATTCACATATGAATACACCATCATTAAGGGTTCATAATATTTTTTAGTGAGTCTTCATTATTATTTTTCTCACTTTTTTTTTTTATTAAACGAAAACTAAATTACAAAGATACCGTTCTTTTATTGAATGTATCTAGTCACTAAGTAGGTGTTCTTATGCCCTTCTTTAATTTTATTGTTTCAGGCTGTCATAATATCAATTTCCAGTACATATACATTTTTAATATTTTATTAAATATTTTTTTATTATATATAATAAGTTATTTTTTTATGTTAAAATTATTCTTTTTTATTATCATTAACAATATCAAATAATGAAAAATTTATGGAAAGCACAAAGAAATTGTTGCCTGCTACTTGTGCTATTAGTGTGTTCTCAAGTAAAAAAAGATTGAACACTTATTAAAATACTTGTAAATATTTCGCAAATAAAATCAGACCATTAAAAAAAAAAAAAATGTTTCCTGCATGAAGTGATCATCTACTATAGGCGATCTGAAGACATTTTTTAAAACATTCAAGATATGGTTTCCATCTTCCTTTTTATTTATCCAACTTTTATTATGTAATAGTCACACAAAAAATATATAAAACTTACATGTGCAGACCAGTCTTGTATCAGATAAAAGTTATTCTGTATTGTGGCCTTATATATAGCCTGTACAGTCTCTGTAATATTTTGAGGAGCTATTATATTTTTTATTTTTAAGTAATCTTCACTTGTTTCCAAATAAACTTAATCATGTTTTTTAAAAATGTATAATAAAATCTGAAATCTGTGATATTTTTATGATATAATTTTAAAATATTAAAAATAAAAAATAAAACTTTAATAGAAAAAGGGAATTTTCAACCTTATTTCTGCATATTAAATTCTTTTTCCTTTAACTGAAGTTATTGTAGGAAAGAAATGATAATTCCCAAAAAAGGATCATCTGTTATAAAATTCTCTGTGTAAAAAATGAAACTCTTGAATTATTAATATTTTGTATATTATTGCAGGAAAGACAAACGGGAATGGCTGTACACTCAAGAGGAGTTGGAAAATAGTTTAACGCATGATGACCTTTGGAACTCGACTCAGATCCAACTTGTCAAAGAAGGAAAGATACACGGTTTTTTGCGAATGTATTGGGCAAAAAAAATATTAGAATGGACAGAATCTCCAGAAAAAGCTTTGGAAATTTCTATTTACTTAAATGATAAATATAGTTTAGATGGTAGGGATCCTAACGGATTTGTTGGTAAGTAAGAAAAAAAGTAATTGTTTGTTATTAATTTTAAAAAAATAGCAATAACTAATTAAAAAATTTACTTATTTTTTTTAAAACATCTAATTTTAATTTAAGATTTTTTGGAATAGAAGTAATCGTTTAAAATTAAGTAATTTAATTTAAAAATTAACCAAAATTTTCTAATCCAAACTAGTGTTACACCATCAACAAATCTAAATTAGCATATCTTATTTATTTATTTTTTTTGGAATAAACCGTTTTAAAAATCCTGTTTTAATATTTTCAGGTTGCATGTGGTCAATTTGTGGTATACATGATCAAGGTTGGAAAGAGAGGCCTGTTTTTGGTAAAATACGTTACATGAACTACAAAGGATGTGAACGGAAGTTTAATGTGTCCGCATTTGTTGCAAGATATGGAGGAAAAGTTCATAAGAAAAAAAAATAAAATTATGAAGATTTAGATTTAATGCTAAAAGTTCAAATCTATATATATTTACATCACAATTTATTTGTTATTTTAATTATGATAACAGTATCATATGGCAAAAGTCTCCCAAATGTAGCGGCCACAGCACTCACAGCCAATATGGGTTATTGAACACTTAAGCAAATGTTTGCTATATATCTATCCATTTTGTCACTATTTAATTTATTTTTCTTTAATTTATAGTAGTTCTAATTTATACTATTTTATTAACTAAGTATTAAAGCCTGTGAGATGTTTTCTTTTTAATTTATAACTATATCTTTCTTTTTTATTTATATTTATATCACTATTTGTTTATTATTTAATTAAGTGAATACTAAAACCTATGAGATTTTTTTATAATTAATTTTGTCTCTCTTTTATATGTACATTCATATCATTTATGTTTGTTATTGTAATTATTATTTGATTTACTAAGTATTAAAACCTGTGAGATTTTATTATTGGTAATGTCAATCTTTTATATCATTTTGTATTTATTTCTTACATATTTTTAGATAATAGTATATATAATTTTATAATTAATAACTAGTTATAAGATGGCCTGTTTCATGATAGATTTTTAAAATTAATCAAAATATTATATTTACTAATGTACATAAATATATTTTTGTATGTAAGCACCTAGTTTATGTATGGCTGAAAATCAAATTGTTTTTTCTTATGAGGATTACAAAAACTTAATGAATTTCTTGTAAATTTTATTCCCTATAATTTAATCCAAAAATTTCTTCATGAATTAAAAAAAAATTATTCATTTTTATATCTTATAGTGGCTATTGGTCACCATAGAACTCATTATTCAATATGTTCCGTATGTCTCTAAAAACCTTGATGGCTTTAAAGGGAGAAGTTTGCAGCCAGCCTGCTAAAAGTTTACCAATAAAAGTAGTGCCAAAGTTTTTATGCAATTGCAAGATTTGTTTTCAGATGCAATTAATCAAATTTTAATTTTGCACATTTGATGATATATGCCTATTTTGATGAATTAAATTTAAATTTTAAATAAGTATAAATGTAATATTGAAGATTAAATTCCAAGACAGTTGTAGATTCCTGTTCATTGAAAAAAAAAAATGTCACTTTCAATAAATCACCTAGAATATAGTTTCAAATTCAGTTTGTTGCTTATTTTCTAGAGAATTGCTACTTATTATCACTTTAACTGCAAAAAGTAAATGCAATATTTTCTACAAAATTGCTATCTTAAATTGAGCTTTACTATATTGAAGATGCAATAAGTTCTACAGCTGATGGAAGAGTCATAATTTTTGTAACATTGTTTACACAAAGTTTCAAGTGACAACCACTAGCCAATATTTTGAAGTAGATATTTAGAGTGTAGAGTGCTCAGAACATAAAAATCATAAATAATGTACATTTATTCCATTTATTTTCTCCCTATGCTTTTCTGTTTGGTTTTGTTTTTTATTAAGGAATTAAGTGCTACTTTGGTTTTCCTTTACCTAAAAATCATTAAGATGTTTTCTATTCCTCTCAAATATATATCAAAGGCATGGTTTTCCCTGATATGTCCCCCACCAAGCTTTCTTGCATCTCATCTTTCCACGTCACATTTAGATTTCTTTTTTTCTTTTCAAGTTAACAAAGTTTTTTTTAAGTGTATAGTTTAGTTATAATTTTTGGATGCTCAATCCGAAAAGTTATAATAATCATCAATTGTATATAGAAATATGTCTTCCTTTTTAGACTTTAGGGATCTTGACGTTAGAGATGGTCCTGTAATAACATCCCATAATCATATATCAGGTCAGTACTAATAATTGTCCATTAATCCATTATATAGTTTCATCATTTACATTGTTAAATATTTTTAATATTAATTTTCATCGTAAGGTAATTATAATATTTCAGACTATTATCATGTCCAAAGAAAACATAATATTTTCTGAATATTTTATTCAATAGTTTTGGCTATTATTTTGTACAAAAGACTCTCATTGTATTTGGAAAGAAGTTCACCAATACTTGTTAGTTAATTTTATTTATTTATTAGAACTTTACCATGCCAATGAGACAATACTGGTTTTGCAGTTGTTACACTTCATTGCATAACTGATCCTGCAATGAGATCAATTTTCATATTATGATCATCTGGTATCATATTATGATATATATAGCATATTATGAGAAGAAGGCTACTTATTCCGCTTGTCTTCGTTCCAGCAGTCTCTCTGGAGCTGGTCCTCTTCTTGTGAGGTTCAAGTGGGTGGGCCCTACTGCTTCTTTCCACCCGTACACAAATTCTTTATAGTACGGGTAGTTTTCTTCTGTAACTAGCTGAGGGGAATAGCTCTCTGTAAGAACATACAGACTGGTCTCCCTCAGCAATTTGAATCTTAGCGACCCAAAGGCTGTGCAGTTCATGATAATGTGTTCATGTCTCCAAGATCCTACAGCTAGGGCGTAGGGGATCGATAAGGCCATGGGTTCAACTCAAAAGCCCCCATGCCCAGTAAGGCATTGCGAGACCCAGTAAACCCGGAGGACCCACTTGGCTTACAAACGTGATTGAACGTTGATTCCACACTTCAATTGTATCTTCCTGGATAATAGTTTTTCATTTTCTGGAGTTTTCATTAAGTCTTTCTTTAGGACTTCCCGGTAGACCAGCTGAGCCTTCTTTCTTATACGTGTAGTTGAACGTCTCTTCGCACAGGAGGAGTTCGAGAAGCACCCCTTCCGCTAATAACTACACTGTCACTCCCTCCTCCCCCAATACTTGTTACTATGAAAGTCATTTAAACGTTTGAATTATGAAAACATCATATTCGCATCAGTCCCATGCAACATTACTAATTTAATTTATTACCAATTACTAATGTAATTTATATCCCATTCTTTTTGCAGTCAATTTTGAGCCTTTTCTGAATAATAGTTCACTTAACTTTAAAAAAAATTAACTATTATTTAACAAGTTGTACTTTATTCTTAATATTTTCTGTTTATATCTGCCAGTCGCTGGATGAAAAAGATAAGTTCCATGTTTGTAAAGTTATAACCATAGCCAAAATGGTGACTGTTAGGAAATAAGTTAAAAAAAGAAATTTTAAATTTTAAAAATAAATTTAAGAAAATTGGTGATCCTTTAGAGAAGATTTGACCCTCAGAAAACCTTATTGACAGTTGATCATCTGACGTTATCGAAAGTGAAAGGTGACAGAACAAGTTTGTACATTTTTGTTTGTTAAAAAATATTGTCAAGGAAAACCGTCAGTGCCTTCTTGGGATAGTATAAACTGAATTAGATATACAAGGCTGTTATGCGGTATGGTATAGTCAAGGTGCCTTGCAAGAACTTAGAGGAAACTCTTGTCAATGGGCCCATTTTAACAATTTTTTTTTCAGTGATACTACAACGGAAAATATCAAACACACGTCCAGGCGTCCATTCTAATGGGCCTTAGGAGCCAAGAAAATCAACATTGTATATAATTTCAAAGAAAATCATGTTACTTATTTTTGTCATTACATTAATTTTCCGAATATTTTGGATCATTTTGTTGACGCTTCGAAATTTAATCGACAACCAAAAAAATTGTGATATCTTTAGAACTCCTCTACTGTCCAAACAAATATTAATAGGGATTTAGGGCTCTATATGCTACACGAAATGGTACAAAACCGACCTCCGTAAACAAATCAAAACCCAAGATATAAAATAAAAATGATTAAGAAGTTTATCTTAATTTCTAGTGAAAAAAAGAAATTAAAATTAAAATTTATCGTTGCAGGTTGGAAAAACAGTAATTCAGCTTCCCTGCGGTTGAATTAGAAGAACATTCTGAGGGGTTATGAATGCTTTAGTTATCGACCAAAAAAAAAAAAAATCAAATATTAAATTTTCGATTTCAATAAAAATTTGTATTCAAGAGTTTCAAAGGGCATTAAAAACGAATCTAACTTGCTTTTTCATAATAAAAATGTACTTTATCTATTTTACTGGAGATACCTTTTGGTTTTTATAATTTATGATACATTATACGTTATTATTTTACGTTATAACTCATTTAATGCAATAGACAATATTTTTTTCGTATTCTCCACACACACAAAAAAAAACTATTGATGTATAATAACCTTAAAATCTGGGCAAAGCAAAGGCAAAAATAAATAACATAAATTTTGTTTGCAACTATTTAAAATTTTTTCTCGGCTCCTTGGGTCCATTGGAACGAACGCCGGGACATGTCTATTATTATTCGATACCAACGGACCCAGGATTTCATTTTGTGAGGGCTTCAGTCAGAAAGATTTTTTTTGTATGTATATATTAGGATAATTAATTCGGAATTAAGAAAGAAACTAACTAGCTATATGAAATTGTGTTTAAGTTATTCTTGAAGTCCTATTAAATTTAATTAGATGAACAATAATACTTTTAGAGATCATTTTTTTCATAAAACATGTAGCCCGAAAGTCTCTCCTGTATATCCGCCTGTGTTATTCAATGAAGTATCACCGAAAAAAATTGCTTGAAATCGATGACCCAGACTGTAGCGTCTCCTTGTCACTAAATATCAGGAAAGTGAGTTTCGTGAGAGGAACAATTTCAGTCTTTAATGAAAGAAATGTGCATTCGTTACTTAGCGAAAGAAAAAAATGTGAATGTATGTTGACCACAAACCAAAATAAAAGACCTTTAATAAAAACTATATAATGAGGGTTCTACTGGCTCAAGATAACAATTTACCACCGGCGATTTGTAAATATTATAGTTCGGTCTCTAATTTATTTTCGACTTTAAGCGTATTTGAATGAATGAAAATAATTTTATTCTGGGACTAAAGTCTCCTTAGAACAACAGCAGAGTTGAAAAAATATATACATCAGTCTGGCATGTAGTTATAAAACAAATATATACAAAAAATCCTAACAAAAATACGATTATATTAAAAAAATACGGAGAGAAAAATAAAAGTAAAATGGCTCTTATCAATTAACTGTTGCCTAGAAATTATAATTACATAACCTAAAAATGTGGTCTTACCTCTCAACATTGAATAGAAATTATTTTCTGGCCATGTTGGCTTATTATAAAATTTTTAACCAAGTTAGAGCTAAAAACTTACAGCTAACAAATCATAAATTAAATTAAAATAACAAAAGGCCTATTTATTATATCACCGATTAATTATGGGTTGTACGATCCGTTGATTATGGATTTACGAATATTAGTTGTTAAACTGTTATTTTCCATTACAAAGTTTATTAAAATGGAATTAAGAGATTTGCATTATCTGTCATAGAGAGGCCAAAAGTTGTTACACTAATTGGAAGTTGTTACACTGTTGGAATATCACAGAGGGAAAATTCATAAAATTATTCACTAATATAATTTTCTGAAAGGTTACATGATGATTTTTCGGAATAAACGGACGATAGAAAACTAATTATTTAAATACAATATCAGATCTAGAGTTATTAAATTAGAATAAATATATTTAAGGTTATATACATATAGAAGATTAGAAGAATCAACTTTATTCTGGGACATATACATGAAATATTTCACTTCTTCTTTCACACAAGTACAATGAAATAGTATCTTACAACAGTGTCATTGCCTTAAATCTGTGGATTTTAAATGATTTTTCAAACTTAGAAACAAATGTTAAAAGTTTACATTTAGTAAGAAAATTTCATTTAATTTCCTTGAAAACACGTAATTTACGTTAAATAATGTTAGTTATTAGAAATTATTATTTCTATTTTTTTTCGCCACTCTCCGTTACCTTCTACAATTGTCTATATTATATATTGTATTTTTGTTTTTTTTTAATTCTCCGCTTTCCAACGAAATATTATACTTATACCTTCTGACTATTATTTCCGGATAATCATTTTCGATTGATATTAAAGATCACTTAATTATACAATCTACATCGAGTTTAATCAAAATCATTCAAATCAAAAATTGTAAAAATGTGCTTCACCGTTGATATAAAGTGGCACTTCCGGTTACCCGATTTTAAGGGAAAAGTTGCTGTCATATCTAAGGCGTATACATATCTTAAATACGTAATATCAGTTTCGTACAACTTTTCATTTTGTAGTTAGACTGCAAACATACAAATACTCAGTGTATTCCAAAACGTGTATTTCCGTTGAAAACGCAGATTCAAAAATTTTCACGATCGCAATACTTACCCTTACTATATACTACATATATACGCGTAAGTGAAAGTGAAAATTATTACAGGCTCGCAGAAGTTTGAATGCGTAGTAGGTAGAGGAATAGGAATTGTTTGAAGGAATTTTGGGTCATGGTTTGACGTATGGAGACAGGTAAAGAGTTCCAAAAGGGGATAGCACGAATGACGAAGGATTTGTTGAAAAAAGTGGTTTTATGGGAGGGGACATGTAGATCTATAGGTTAAGATCTGGTATTAAGAGAGTGGATCGAAGAACATTTCAATTAAGATCGTAAGGAGTTGTAGGACGTAGGGAGGATTTTTGGTTCTGGGGGACTTGGAAAAGGAAAATAACAAGATGGAATTGCCGTCGGAAAGTAGGATAGAGCCACTCGGTGTATAAGTCACGGGCGGATCTACGGGGGGAGGGGCTTTCGGGCTGAAGCCCCCCCCCCAAAATGGTAAAATATAACTATGTTTTATGGGAAAATATATTAAAAAATTATCTCTTAAAGTATTATTATTGGTGTAATTATATTTAAAAGTACTTAAGGAATCACTTAAACACCATTTCATATAGATAGCTAGTTTCTTTCTTTTTTTCCAAGGTAATTATCGCCATTTTTATGAAAAAAAAAGCTTTCGGGCTGAAGCCCTCCCCAAAATTGATTCCTGGATCCGCTAGTGGTATAAGTAGAAAACATAGGAACATCTGGGAATCCCAAAGATGAATCTCATGAAGCTATTCATGATTCTCTTCAGTCTTGTGCACAGAAATCCATACACCAAGCAACCGTAGTCGAAGTGGGGGGAAACAAGGGATGTTACAAGGAATTAGTTGTCTGGTGTTTGTTGGAATGGATTCACGGATTTGTTTAATGATAGTTATGGATTTTCGGGTAATCTGGGAAATGTAGTAATTCCAAGAGAGATTCTGATCAAAGATTACTCCGAGATTTTTGACTGTTGGAAATAAATAGATGGGACGGATTTTGAGGTAAAGTAAAGGAGATAAAGGAAAGGAACTAATGAGGTGCTTGGAACCGATGAGGATTGACTTAGTTTTATCTGCGTTCAGCTTCAGTTCGTTTTTTTCTGCCCACCTGTGGATACAGTCAATATCCTCTTGCAGTTTATGGGTAGCTTCAGGCACCTTAGGATATTGGTTAGATAAGTAAATTTGGAGATCGTGTGCATATAAGTGATATTTATGTATATTAATAATATTAGTAAAGAACTGCTTATTTCGGTTTATTATTTTCGATAATAAACCATTGTAATCATATACAAAATTTAATCTCCCGTCTCAAAATTTGAGGTTTTACGTTTCACGATACATAGAACTCGAAAATCGAATAAAAATAAAATTGTCCGTCCGCTGTCAGCAACTTTTCTCCGAGACTACTGGACCGATTTTTTTTTTCAAATTAGGAATCCAAGCCAGTGATCACCTGAGGATGATCCTCCAGCCTTGACATTACTATCCGCCCTTTCCTTTCAAGATGGTGTAATAACATTTTTAGGTTACACCACAGGTTACGGCTTATTTTGGATTTCGGAGTACTTCGATATATGGGTCTATTTATATGTTTTCGAAGCCGTAGATTTTTAAAAAGATCTCCGTTTTCAGTTTAAGCCACTGCGTTGCGGCTTATTTGAGTTGTGTGTATTTCTTCGATAAAATGGTCTATGTATATGTTTTTGGGCCCGTAAAGTTTTAAAATGATCTCCATTTCAAGATTACGCCACCGCTTGCGGCTTATCAAGTTTTTTATATTTTTTCGATATGAGGGTCTATTTATATGTTTTCAGAGCCGTAGATTTCTAAAATGATTTCCATTTTAAGATAACGCCACTGCGTTGCATTTTAATTTTAAATTTGTATTTTTTTTTTTTTTTTTTTTTGTAATACATTATTTTAACTCAGGAGCTTAACACAAGGTTTGATCAGATTTTGATGAATTAACATAAAAAAATAATAATATAAATATTAAATGAGGTGTGGTTGAAGGTGGAATTGTTTGCTTGTAAGTAGTTAGTGAAATAGCCTTTCTTCATAAATTTTTCAATGAACAAAACATCGAAAATTTAAAAAATTGATGGGGGAAGTATATTTTTTATTCAATTTACAATTCTAAACACTAATACAAATTAAGTGGCGCATGTTTGATGAAATAAATTCAATTTAGTAAATAATGAATAAAAGAGAAAAGAGAACAATAAATTAAAGGGAAAGAACTCCAGCGCTTACTAAAATTTTGTTGAGTGTTCTGACACTGCCAACTTAGCAACCTCTGCTGATTGGAATTTATTTCCTAGGAGGCCACAAAATGAAACTCAAACTTCCTACCCTGGTTAAGATAGGTAGTTTTTCCTGTACAATAACTTGCTACATGCCAGATACAGCCATGTAAGAAATAAAATTTTAAAAAACAAAGGATAATCATTGACACAAAATAAAATGACTACACCTTAGATAAATATTAATTAATTTAACTATACTTCAAATGAGGTAAATAAAACAATATTGATACTTTAATTATAACTGTAATTTTCTTTATACTTTGTTTTTGTACCATAAAACTTGTAATACATTACCCCATCCACGAAAACAATATATGGTAAGTATTTTTCTAAGTCGAAGCCTTCATATCTATGCTCTAACATTTTCAAAAATGCCATGAATCTATTTTGTGATGTATGTTGCTTCTTACCCTCCCCATGCTCATCATCCTTTTCCCAATATTCTTCAGGAGGAGCTATTTCTCCAAGGCAGTTCGTATCTACACTATCTTGGGTTTCTTTTAATCTTTCTGTTTCTAGTCTTTTTTGTTCTAATAAATATGACTGTTTCTCCAAAAGCTTGGCTGCCATTTCAACATTATTTTTCGCAGATATTTTATCAAATATCCGATCTCTTTCCATTAAGCCAAAGAAGTCAAATTCAGATCCTTCATCAGATACAGATGCATGACCAAACCTGAACTGAGGACTAAATGGACCTGAGAGCTTCATCATCCTGCTTTTACCTCTACCTTTTCTTTTTGCTGCTCTAAATTTAACTTTGTCACGTTTACTCTTAAATTTTTTATGGTCTCTACTTTTCCTAAGTTTCTTTTTTTCCCAATTAAAATCATCATCAGATAAAGCTTGCTTTTTTTTACGCCTAGGCCATTCCTTATTGTAGTCCATACTTGGTACCACACTTATGACAGAATGTTCAGAAACAGATTTTAATTTTTTATCAGATTTCTCTTTTTTCTCTATGGGTTTTTTATTGATTAATTTTTCAGTTGAGCCGGGGGTTTTCTTTAAAGCAAAGAACTGTCCTTGTTTCAAGTTCCAGAAAACTGAAACAAATACATTATTAGTTTAGTTATGATTACGAATCACAGTAAAACATATATATATTTTTTAAATAATTACATATTTTTATGCACCATAGAGTTGGATCCTAGAGGCTAATATCTAAGCTAAAAAAAAAAAAAAAAGAAAGAAAGAAAAGAAGTACAGCCTACTCTCTCAAAAAAGAACTAAACCGAATTCTTCAAATATTTTTTGGTTGGGTGTTGGGGTACTGTGTCTTTATACTGTAGCATTTGCTTCCTAAATGTTAAATTTATTTCATTCTGTGCCTTTACTTACATGAATTTCTTGTTATGACATGAGTTACATGAATGGGTTTCTTACATGAATTTCTTTCAATAGAAAGCCAAATACCAGATTTTGATTCTTATCATTTTGGCATATTTGTGTTGTTATTCCACTCGAATCAGCATCTATATATCAGGATATAATATGTGATATATATTATATCAGGAACTACTAATCCGATTTGAAAAACAATTTTTGCATTAGATAGACGGATAATATTTACTCACTAGGATTTATAGGATCAAACTACATAATATAGGAGCAATAACTTTAAACATCAATCAATATGGTGATAGTGACCCACTTTGAATACCATGAAAGCAAATTACCTTCACATATTTTTAATAAGTATACAGCAAGGGTCAAAACTTTTACAGAACTTTTTTAAAAAGTTCCATTTTAGCAGTTCCTGTAGAACTTATTAGGAAAAAAATTTCTTAAAATAAAATGCCTAAGGAACTTTTATATAATAAAGTTCTAGGTTTCTGGAAAAATTTAACTTTAATTTAGCTAAGTTTTTAATTAAAATAACAGTAAATTAGAAATAAACAGTAATTAGGCTTAGATTAGAGTTATAATTTATCTTAAATAAATAAACCATTACCTCATATCAGGCTCAAAAGATAAGAGCTTAACTGATGATTTTGATAATTATATGGACTACTGGTCAGAAATCCACACCTTTCAATTGAAAACAAACTAGTATACAAGACTGTATTAAAACCCATCTGGCCGTATGGACTTGAAAAGTGGGGGAGAGCTAAATCTTCGAACATCAAACATATCCAATCCTTTCAATCTAAAGTCCTTTGAACAATAGTAAATACTCCATACCACGTCTCTAACAAAACCTTACATCATGATCTCAACATCCCATTTGTCCTTGACGTAATTCCATTCAGATTCTCAAACTTCAATCAAACATTCATCATCCTAATCCCTTAGCGCAATCCCTTCCAAGCTCACACCATCCAAATAATCCCCATCCATATAATGAAGGTTGAAACGGCAATGGCCTCAAGATCTTTTGTAAATATTCTATTGGAGTTCTGGAAGTGGCCAGCTTCTCCACTCAAGTCCTCAGGATAAGTGAATTTAGCGCTCTTACTCAGTCTCCTCTGGCTTTCAAACAGTGAGCAGGCTGGATGGGTGAGAAGCGCTGGAATCTCATTGAGCAGCAAAGCATGGTTCAGCGTTTCCTAGGCTGAATATAAATATTTTATATAGGAAAGATTGTGTGACAAGTATTTTTTTTTTCTTTTTTATTGTGCTTTCAATGTATTTTTTTCTTTTGCAAGTATTTTTATTATTTTTTTAATGCATATATTTTCACTTATATGTTTTCTTCTTATTTGATGTGTTCTCAATTTGTATTTTAATTTATTAATGCAATGAATTTATAAATAACATTATAAAAAGTATGAATGAAAACCAAATGTCCCTGATTATGTCTGATTGCATTATTATTATTCAAATAAAAAAAATGTAAAAAAATAAAAATACAAAAGTTAAAATTTTACTTCACACCCTGGTACACAATTATAATACAACTACCAGTTTCCCACGGATAATGCAGTTTGTGGAGAGTTTTATTTGATTTTATAAAGCCCAAAACCTCAATGAGGAGAACCTAAAACCTGAGACCAATCTAGAGCAAAAAGATTGTTTCAAATTGGACTGGTGTTTCTGTAATAAGTACATTATAACAATTTTTTCTGGTTCATATAGAGTCCTTTTGTTTTTCCATGTTAATCCTTTGACTGCGGATGGAATACATGCCTTCCTGTTAAGAATTGGGTAACTGGTGTGGACGGGATATATGCTTTCTCACCTAGATGGTCGCCACTTAAAAAGGTAGGGGCACGTTCCGCTTCCACCATTTGTCTAGTGGCTTGATTGGTGCATTCATTACTCCCCTGTAGCTGACTCAGTGCGCTCGTTCCAGATTCTGACCATTTGGAAGCTGTCAGTTACAGATTTATTCTGAACCCAAGGTATGTTCTTTCTCTGTTATTTGTGTCATATCCATGATCCTATTTATATTCTATTTAAATGTTTTATACAACAAATAAATATTAATAAGTTAATTTTATAATTTTTTCTTCTTTTTTTAAAATTTTTGTTTTGACTGGATGCTGATTTTTTAAAATGTGAATCTCTTTCTGCAAAACAAATAAATGTAATTTCCTACATTTTATACACACATACACACACACACAGGTATATATATATATATATATATATATATATATATATATATATATATATATATGTATACACACACACACACACACACACACATATATATATATATATATATATATATATATATATATATATATATATATATATATAAGTTAAGTGTAACAGACTTGAAACAATTAAAAAAAAAAGAATAGGTTCACGAAATGAAACGCATGAAGTCGGAATCAAGACTGCTTTATTGTTCCTTCTAATCTTCTATTTATACATTCTAAGCTTGTTTACATCAGTGTGTTTGGTATTAACGCCAATACTGTGCCACTCCGTACCTTGACTTATATACACACACACACACACACAATATATATATATATATATATATATATATATATATATATAATATATATATATATATATATATATATATAATGTAATAAATTAATGTTAAAATATACAAAAATTAAAATTTATAAGTAAAAATTAATAAATATAAAAATATACAGGATTAAAATGATACTTTTTTACAGATTTAAAATATTAAATCATTTTTCTATCCACCTAAAAACATTATATATATTTCATATAATATAAAATTGTTTGAAACTCAAAATAAGTGTAAATACAATAATAAAATTTATAACTGTGCTATAGTATTAAAATGGATTCAATATGTTAAGAAGAAGAATTAAGAAGTTTCAATATGGAACGTTTTTAGGTAGGAAAAAGATTTGTAAATACAGAAAAATATATTTGGTCAGTGTTCTTTTTTATAAATAATATAATTTCATTTTTATGATCATTTAAAGTTATTTTAATGATAATTTTTAGTTAATTTGCTTTTCGGAAATAAGCAAATATGCTAGAAAACGAAGCGTTGCGGGATCGACGCTCTAATTTTGGACTGTCATAGGTGACCTGGGAAGGCATATATCCCGTTTTTTTTTTTATTTTAATAAAAATGTTAAAATGCATTATTGGAAGTTAAGATCTTGCAGGGCGAGTCAAAATAGCATTTTTGAACAAATTTATACAAACAAAAAAAAAATCCTTTTTTTTATGTCTGTGGATTTCAGGATGTAATGTATGATAGAAACTCGCGAATGATCTCTCGCAGTCAAAGGTTTAATATTATTCATTAAATGAAATACACATCGGTATGTACTCATCTTGTATCAAATTTTAACAATGAGCATAACTGTTTTTTTTAATAAATATCCAGTTGTTTTTCCAAACATTAACAAGATGAGTATAATAAACAAAAGTGTATAAGAAACAAAAGTGAAATATTGACTTAAAGAGTGTTTTTACATTCTTGCCTCAATTAAGGAAGCCACAGTGTAATGCAAAACTACTTTTTAACCTTTAATCTAAAATAATATATTTTTAATTTTTTCATCAGTAATATTTAGCTAATAATTATCCAACTATTTGAGTAAAATAATTATGATAGATCTCTTTTCCCTATTGTTAGTCTGAATTTACAATTTTATAATTATATAAAAACATAATTTTAACTTAACTATCTATTTAGCGACTTTCATTATTTTATTAGCTATGGAATTTACCAAGTGAACAGCGGTGGTATGGGTCAGGTTTCCTTGAATCAGCTAAATTACATCTCATTGAACAAAAATACACAAGCCTACAAATAGGACAAGCTTGTGCGATGGCTGATTGTTTTAGGCATTTATAACAAACAATGTATTTGGAATTCTGAAAAAAGTTAGATTTGTTTTAAAAAATAATCTTATCATTTATCTTAATTTAATTAACACACTTATTCATTTCAATTGGGGCATAATATTGTCATTGATTTTTTAATTAGTTTTACTTAGACTTACCTATACATAACATATATAGTAAAAAAAATATTACGATCAAGAAATATTCCTAATCTGAGCTTTCTATAATCATATTATATAAAGCAGTTTCCATTGTACAATAATGAGTACAAAACATGGAGTCGCTAGTGCTATGTATCATAGAGGCTGGCATATGATTTAAAATATATTTAAAAGATTTCATGTAAATAAAAAGACTAAAAATAAAATACAGGATTGACACAACTTACTCGCTTAGGAAACAATATAAATAAAACTGGAAAATCTATCAGTAGATAGAAAAAATGAGGAGCCAAGCCTAGGAGTTCCTAGAGGATGGAGAAGACAGGAGTTGAAGTCAGTGGGAGACGACCAGAGATACAGGGCAGTTCTGGAAGAGAGGGCCTATCAGGACTTGAGGGAGGTGCCTAGCAGCCAAGAGAAGGAGAGACCTCGAGATGATGGTGACACCAGACACCAGGAAGAAATAGCTAAGGACACCACCAAGATACAACCAGCCAAGTTAGATTATCCATTTACATATAACTGTGTAAACTGGTTTGACAGTCAATAAATTAATAGTTTTTCAATCAGTCCAATTCACAATAGCATTCTCCTAATATGATTTTCCAGGTTTATATAATTTGTAAATTTATAAATAGATCAATTTTTTTATGAAATCTTAATTCTTTAGCAAATATTCCTGCACGCCACCACTTAGATATAAATACAAATAGTAAATTGTGAACATGATATCTTTTGAGAAGATATACAATGAAAATTAAAATTCAAGCTAGTATATTACAGAGGGAGGTCTAGCTTTCAAATACATAATTGATATATTTTTAAGTGAATAGGTTCCCTTCTGGAACTGATAGAAATCTAGATATAAATATTAAATACATTAAATAGAAATAAATTCTGCAGATTCTGAAATAGAAAGCAGATTCTGGAACCTCCTGAATGGCTTAGAAAAGCAGTGTACCAGAAATGTAGCACTAGGTGTATCTCATGGGTGCCTACAATAAAGCAGTAATGAACACAACTATTTAAGCAAAGCCATCATCTTTGCTTGGCCAATCCATAATGCTCACACATGCAACTCACAGTTTTTCCTATGAACCATGGGTGACAATTATGGTATAGAGTTATTTGAAGCAAAGAAAGGTCACTCTACAGATGAGTACCAGAGTTGAAAATCATAATATGAGGAACTACAGCAAACCTCTATCACAGTATAATACATTGAAGTGGTGTATCATCAATATTAATGTAAGCATTACTAACATAACATGCTATGTGGGTTTTATAAGAACATGTGATAGGAGATACAAATCTATCCAGCACACAACTTAAAGGTGCAGTGCATTTGCTAAGAAGGTATGATAATGAAACCAAAAATTTTCACCCGGTGATTGGTCTAAATAGCAGAACAATTAGACACCTTGTGATAAATACAATCCTAAATACCTGTTCCAAAGAGAATTGTTAGATTGTCCTGAAATCAGTTGTTTAGTTAAATAAATTACTGTGATTGACAATGAATGTGACATTTTGTTAATTGATGTTAATAAGATTTAGTTGATAACTGGGATCATAGATACTGATGTACCAATTGAAGGCAACACTTATTCTGTCTCTTACAGCAAAGTTGTGGCTCTTGAAGTTAAGTTAAAGGTCTAAGCAGACTGGTTAAGTAGTTTATGGTTACTGTGATCTCCAGCACAATACACTGTAACAGCAGATCAGTGTAAAAATTACATTAAAGATTGCGTAAAGATAAACATAAATTTTACACTGTAAAATGGATATGTAATCCATTCGTTTTTATCCCAGTTGTACCTTCAAACTTTTTGGAGGTAGGATATTGTTATCAAGTTATGAATTTTCAAGGGAAACAATATTTTTGTGGGGTTTCAATTTTCAAATCAAAGAACATGGGTAAAAATTGAAAATATTTTTTGTGATTCTATTTTTACTTGCACAGTTTTTAAGAAATGAGAGAAATAAAATTTCTTAGGGGATAGGAAGGGAGGAGGAGGACCTATGCTCCAGAGCCCTTAAGGGAGATAGGCACCTCTGTCTTATCTGATTGCAATATCATTTTCCACTATTATAATCAAATTAAACTCGTTAGCTGACAAAAGTAATTTGTGTAAAGTAATTTGTATATTTGACAAAATCATAATTATTTTAAAATAGTCATGTCTTCTTAACAATAATTTAAATCATACTAACTTTTTTTTCCATTTCTGGATAAACATAAACACCATTATTATACACTTTTACAAAATGACGTATCCATTTTAAGTTTTCTTCTTCCTTTTCTTCATTCTCAACATCATCTTGTGATTCAAGAGAAAATTGATCTTCTATTTTACAATTCTACAAAACAAAAATTAATGAATTAAAATTACAGATAAGATAGGAATATTATAGATCAATGAAGGCAATAAATTTAATCAAATTCACAATATCAAATATATATATAGTAAAGTGTGAGTTTTAGAGTGATAAATTGCTTGATATATACACCCGTACTATATTTAAAGTATAATTAACTATGTATGTTAGAATTATAAAATATATAGTAATAAACTGATATATATATATATATATATATATATATATATATATATATATATATCTACGGTCAATGAACGCTAATTTTTACCATCATTGTCAAAATCTGAGACAGTAAATGACCTTGCAGCTTGGAAATGATTTCTCTAAAAAGAAAATCAGAATAATTTCCGATTCACATCATAATCAGAATCCGATCAATATATATATATATATATATATATATATCAGTTTTTTACTATATATTTTATAATTCTAACATATATAGTTAATTACTTTAAATATAGTACGGGTGTATTAATCAAGCAATTTATCACTCTAAAACTCACACTCTACTCATTAGCGGAACCAGTCCTTCTTCCCTCCTCCTGGAAGCTGGAAAAAATTCCAAATAGCTGCTGTTAGAAACGTTTTCATGAATGAAAGTACTAATTATTTGGTCACCGATTTGATCGGATTCTGATTTTCTTTTTAGAGAAATCATTTCCAAGCTGCTAGATCATTTACAGTAATCTGTCTCAGATTTTGACAATGATGGTAAAAATTAGAGTTCATTGACCGTAGATATCGACCTTATTACTTAATCAAATTATTAAGTTTAGGTTCGACTCGTTCGACAAACAATTTGACGTTCTTTAATTTCTTAAAGAATACGTTTTTCGCTTTGATGCATGTTTAGTTGTAATACATGAAAAAAGAAATCAGATAAATCTGGATTTTATGGCTGTAAAAGTTTTCTCTTGATGACACGTATTAGCAACTTAGCTTTTTACATGTCTAAACCCATAGTTAGTAGAGATAAATTTTTAAAAGAGTGTAAGTAGAAATCAAGTACCACAAAAAGGTTTGATTTAGAGATGGTTGACCGTGATATAATATGAGAAGGAGTTGATCGGGAGGGGTGAGGAGGAGGGTGCGGTCAAATAAATACTAAATTATAAAAATAGTATTATTTAATTATTATGCTGACGTTTCAACCCACCTTGCAGATCTTCATCAGGTCTACAAAAGATACAAAATATAAAAGGTACATGGTGAAAAAAAAATAAATGAATAATAAGTAGATTCATTTATTTTATTGAAAGACCTGCAAGGTGGGTCGAAATGTCGGCATAATAATTAAATAATACTATTTCTATAATTTAGCATTTATTTAACTGCATCCTCCCTCTCTCCCTCCTCCCTTCCGATCAACCCCTTCTCACAAAAAAGTCTATACAAACAAAGGTTAGATTTTCAGCGGGAAAGTAAGAAATTAAGTTTTGTGACTTAAGTAAATCAAGTTTTTTGGTGAATACGAAGTGATAGCTAAACACTATTTAATTTAAGTAATTAATGATTATTTCACTTAAACTAGTTAAAATTTATTTGAAATAAAAATAGAGTTTGCTTTTGTTAAAACCATTTAAAGAGGAATTTATAGCGGCGAAACTCAGCTAAGGAGTGGGGAGAGATAGGTAGTGGTGGTAGAACGGGTAGGGATGGAGGAAGGTGCGCCCCCCTCCCCTGAGAAAATTCCTAGATCCGCCACTGATCCTACCCTCTAAATATAGTCTAGTTACACACTATATATAATATTACTCAGTTCAGACTGAAATGACAAACGTCAATAACTAACATGACAGATATATAAAAATATAATAGAAAAGCATATGTAATTCAGAGTTTCTACCTACCAAAGACTTTTTATCGAATTTTATGATTTTTCTATGTCCTGTTTAGAAAAATTCCATATTTTCAAAAGAGATACAATAGAACAGGTTACGTATATGTACATATTGTAATGTCAACATTACATGGTATTTTAATAGTGGCACAAAAGTGGTAACAGCACGAACTACGGGGAGGAAGTGCGTGCGGATGGTGGGGAAAGCAAGCCTCATGTAACTCAGAATGTGACGGGCCGCCAAGAGAGAAGGTGATAGCGGCCAAGAGAGAATGTGACAAGCTGTCAAGAGAGAAGTTGACGAGCTGCCAAGTGAGAAGGTGCTAGCCAGCAAGCTGAGAAAGTGAAAAAGGAGTACTAGCCGGTTCGAGTGTTGATAGAGGCCACTAGTGGAGATTATTTTATGTTGGAAGAAAAACATAGCAGAAATTAATTAAGTGGTACAGAAAACGGAACATTCGTAAGTAAGAAGAGATCATTTCACTGGCAGGCGTAAACATTTGGGTGAGTGCTAACAATGCCATTTATGTGGACAGAGGGATAGAGCCACAAAGTTTAGAATGGGACAAATTATTTTATAAAACTATTTTAAATTATATATAAGTGTAGTTAGTAATTAGTAAATTAGTGTAGATTATCTGGGGGTCCAATATTACTGATAGGCGAGGCGCGAAAATGGGAGGTTTCATAGCAAGAAATCACCTTGTCGTGATGAATGAACCCTCTGCTACCCCTATCTTTTCTGGAGTCATGGGGCAGAGTTGGATTGATGTCACGATCGTCACGCCTGTGCTTACGAGGTACATCGCAGATTGGACTCTCAGGTCTGAAACGAGTCCTGACCATATTGCGATAGTAATCGACCTGGTAGATAATCCAGGATGTTCCCACGGTATTGATAAAGGTTTTGTTACGAAAATAAGTGACTGGATTGTCTTCAGGTGCTGTCTGGAAGGATTAATTGTAGATGAAGAATGGGATGTGATGGAGATGGACGTAGCTAATGACCTGGATTACAAGGTATCTAGGATCACCAATATCATTCGAGACGCTGCCGAAAACTCCCTGAAGCACCGGAAAGCGAGAGCTCGACCGGTCCCATGGTGGACGCCAGCCTTAACTGTTCTAAAGAGAGACCTCTACAAGGCCCGGCGGTCATATCAGAGGTGCAGATGTGACGAGAGGCGCATTGCACTTCGGAATGAGTATAAATCTAAATCCAGGATATACCGAAACGAGGTTCGCTCACAAAAACGGAAGTCCTGGGACGATTTCATCCATAGTTAATTAATTTAAATATAGTACGGGTGTATTAATCAAGCAATTTATCACTCTAAAACTCACTCTACTCATTAGCGGAACCAGTCCAAGAGTCCTCGAAGAATCCCTGGGGTATTCCGTGCAGGGTGGCATTGGGTAAGCTGACCCCGCTGCAGACTATTGCAGCTTTGAAATATCAAGATACTCAGGCAACCACCCTGGAAGAGACAGCCAGTATTTTCATTGAAACAATATACCCCAGGGATGATTCAGCCCAGGACAGCGAAAATGTCGTTTTTGTGAGGCGTACCACGGTGTATCCGACCGGGTCAGATTTTTGCCCACCATGGGACATTCACGATCTTCGTATTGCCGTGGATAGGCAGAAAATGAATCGTTCTCCAGGTCTTGATGCAATAGACGCGGCAATCTTAAGGAACAGTATTCCGTATATTGAAGATCATATTTTAAGATTTTTCAATCAGTGTCTAGATACGGGATACTTCCCATGAAGTTGGAAGATTGCTGATTTGAGACTCCTCTACAAGGGAGGAGATAGAGATAAGCAACTCCCTAACTCATATAGACCTATATGTCTCCTCCCTGTGATGAGCAAGGTCCTGGAGAACCTCATGATGTCTAGCTTACGCCCTGTTTTCGACAGAGCTAGCCATCCACGGCAATATGGTTCAACTAGAGGCAGAGGGACCGCTGATGCTCTGCTGAGAGTGCGCCAAGATGTTGAAGAGAGGGCGGAACGTTATGTTATGCTATTGCTTTTTGATATATCTTCCGCCTTCGACAGTGTATGGTGGCCTAGCGTGCTCCAGCAGCTGCAGAAATACGATGTTCCCAGCAATTTATACTCACTTGTAAGAAGCTACCTCCATGACAGGCGTGTCAAGATCAGAGGGAATCACTATGAGGCAGAAGCTTCCATAGAGAGGGGATGCCCTCAGGGATCAGTCCTTGGCCCTGCTCTGTGGAAGCTTGTCTTCGATGAATTGCTGGGAGTGTTAGAGGAAGAGCGGTTCCCTGCTACTGCCTATGTTGATGACCTAGCTGCTGTGGTGGCCTCAAACAGCAGAGCTGGAGTCAGGACAGAAGCAGAGCGATGCGCTGGCCTGGTCGCGAGGTGGTGTGAGGGGAAGAAGATGAAGATGGCTGCTGCCAAGACTCAAGCCATTCTCCTCAAGGGCAAGACTGACAGGGCACACCCTATAACAATGAATATAGAAGGCCAAAGGATACGTCCAAGTGAGGTGGTAACCTACCTAGGAGTTAGGTTAGGTTTAGGCCTAAATGTGACACCTCACTTGGAATATATGGCAGGTAGGGTGGCCCTAGCAATGGACGGTCTAACTCGCGTGGGAGGTGCATTCTGGGGCCTTAGGTATCCAGCCACAATCACGATATATAAAGGAGTTGTGGAGGGTATCCTGAGGTATGCGTCTCCCTTCTGGTTCCGTAACCTCACACTACGACAAAAAAAAAGGCTAGCCTCGACTCAGAGGACAGCTCTGCTTCGGGTCACCAGAGCATATAGGACAACTTCGCATGAAGCGGTGCAGGTTCTAGCGGGGGTGGTGCCTCTCGTCCTCCTCCTACTAGAAGAAGTGACGAAATATTCATACAAGATAGAAGGCTCTACAGTACTTTCGGACAATCTAAAGGTGAGGATTATGGAAGGGCCTAATAGGTGGAAGAAGATACTCCGGGAGGATACAATTGAAGCATGGAACCGGCGGTGGGTAACAACTCCTAAAGGAAGTACATTGAGGAAGTATTTTCCCACAGTACAGTCGAGGCTTCAGGCAAAGTGGGTCCTCCCGGACTACTGGATTTCCCAGTTCCTCACGGGGCATGGAGGATTTCG